TGTTGCCAGATGTGGCTCTCACCAAGGTGAGTTCCCTTGTTCCTTGCCAATGCTTGGATCTGGAATCTCCCAGAGGCCCACACACTGAAGGCTGTTTTCAAGGGTGGTGCTGTGGGAAGTGGCAGAGCTTACCGGGAGGACCTTAAGTGATGAGGGTGTGCCTTTGAAGGAAACAGCGGGATCCTTGATTCCTAACATGCATGCGCACTCTCCCCCTCTTCCCTCCCCTCCCCTTCTTCCCTCCCTAGCCTTGAGATGAATACTTAGCTCCACCATCTACTCCTGCAATGCTGTGCTTCTTCATCATGGGCCTATAACAATGGGGCCAACCAAACATGGACTCAAGTCTCTGCAGCTGTGAGCCTGAATGAACCTTTCCCCATTGTAAGCTGGTTCTTCACCATTCGTGACAGTGACAGGCTGGTGGAGATACCACTCTTCGGGAAAGGGTGGCAGCATGCAGTGACCAGCCGAAACAGGGAGACCTGCTTCCCAGCAGCCTAGCCTGAGTGGCATAGGCATTTGCTTAGTTCATCTCCGTCCTCATCCAGTCTTTTTGCCACTCAGTGATGATGCTATTCTTTTTTTTTTTTTTTTTTTGGTTTTTCGAGACAGGGTTTCTCTGTGGCTTTGGAGCTTGTCCTGGAACTAGCTCTGTAGACCAGGCTGGTCTCGAACTCACAGAGATCCGCCTGCCTCTGCCTCCCGAGTGCTGGGATTAAAGGCGTGCGCCACCATCGCCCGGCTATTCTTAATAATGACAGGCCCTGTTTCTCAGTCATGGGTCTCAGGTCCTCTCCCCACCAATGCTGTGGACCTCAAGTGATTCTTTCCAAGACAGGTACTAGGGCCTTCTTTACCCCCCCCCCCAAGAAAAAAGAAAAAAATATGTTCAAAAATGCTGTCAGATTGTGACCTTCTTTGGAAATATTGTCACTGCAGATGTCATTAGTTAAAGTGAGGTCACCCTAGATTCCAGAAGGCCCTTTGTCTCACATAGCCAGTGCCTTTACATGAAGATGCACGCAAAGATAGACATCCATGGAGGTGCATCAACAGGATTAAAGACACGGTGGGAAGCCCAGGAAAGCTGAGGATTGTCACCTGTCAGCAGGAATTCGGAGTGACCCAATGACAGGTCTCTTCTGCAGAAATAATTTGGGACAGGGGGCTGATTTATTTTTCCTTTCCCCAGTAGAGTTTGACTCCAAGCTATGTGACTTTGGATACATACTTGCCTTCTCTGTGTTTCTGCTTGCTCCCATATAAGAACAATGTGACAGCACCCCCTCCCCCCGCCCCGAGGTTGCTGCAGAAACTAAGTGTCTTAACGTCACAGCCAGTTTGGCCTGATCTCCATCAAGGTCAACTGCACCATCATCCAGGGCCCCACCCTGCTTATCTTTATGCCTCCTGCCTAGTCCCCTGCCCTTATTGAAAACCCAATTTTCTTCCCTTCAACCTAATCTTCTCGCACACATTGGACTCAGCTCATTCATCCATTGCTAAGCAATTTCTCCTTGGAGCCAGTGGTGTCAGAGAGAGAACAAAGGTGAGGGCTCTGTGGGCTGAAAAGTGAGGGGAGACACAGCTTTCCTTTAAGGGGGAAACAGGGTGTGTAGGAAAATGTCATTCACATGCTAAAAGTCTTCCTGGGCTCAATTAAGCCTGTAGACTTCACAGCTGATTAGCATCTCATCCCCTCAGCCTTGGCAGCCCTGAGTGCAGAGGGTGAGGCTGGCCCTTCAGTCCAGCATCTCTGGAAACCCCCTGCAGGATGCTGAAAATGAACCTGGCTGGAGACAAGCTCCTGGGGGAGAAGACTGATGACTGTTTGGGAAGATCTCCTCTCTCCACCTTGATTTAAAGCCAATAGGAGATTTCATAGACAATGCACATCCCACAGGGATGAACGGAAAGAGAATCCACCCGCCACCCGCTGCACACCCCTGGGGCCCAACAGGCGTGAGACACACTGTCAAATATGCAGTGTCACCAGACAGACTGTTGTCACCCACAGCTCCGAGCCTGTGAGGGATGTGCACACATCTGTTTCCACATGCTTGTAGCTTGAATATGAAATGTCTCCCATACTCTCACACGTTCGAACACTTGGTCCCTGGCTAATGGTGAGTTCCAGAAAGCTGTGACTTTCAGATGTGGACCCTCACTGGAGGATGAGAATCACTGTGAAGAAATCTTGAAGGTATTTTATTCTAATCTGGAACCTATTTCCTCTCCACTTTTTACTTTCTGTTCCACCTAGATGCTACTACTGAATTTAGGGTTATACCCTATGCTCCAACAAACCAGATTCAACCTACCATCCTTGAGAAACCAATTAAAAGAGCCAAATTAATAATGGAAAAAAAAAGGAACAGGAGATTTATTCTATGTGGCCACACTGGGAAGAGAGACAGATTTAGTGATCCCACCCCCACTCAAGTGCATCTTAGGAGTCTTAAAGTAAGGTTAAGGGTTGAGTAGAGGGCCAGGTTATGCATTGCTAAGCAGTCTTCATCAAGGTGAGGTCTTCTCATCATTGTCTTGGGTTCCATTCTCTTGCAAGGGAGTCTGAAAATCTTCTTCTAGGAAAAAAGTTTCTGTTTTATTTAGTCCAAATTTTAGACTTTTTCATTTTCTTTAACTTTTTTTTTTAAAAAAAACTTTATGTCTATGGGTGTTTCACCTGCATGCACGCCTACAAATCATTCCTGATGTCCACAGAGGTCAGAACACATAAAATTCTCTGGAACTGGGGTTACAGATAGTTGGGAGCTGCTATATGGGTGCTGGGAAGTCCTCTGGAAGCATGGCGGTCTTCTGCCAGCATGAACTTCATGGAAGAAATTACATTTTCTTGGGATCCATTGTTTCAATTGTCTGACAGTCAAAAAGAGGAAGAGTGTCTCTAGAATATCCTAATTCCTTCCAGGCTGGACAAAATTCAAGGAAGTGAAAGGTCCCAGCTTGGCTAGAGCTTGGAGTTGTGGAATCAAGCAATCTCCCACCATAACTTCCCCTCTGTGACAGACTGTATCCCTTAAAACTATGAGCCAAGATAAACCTTCCTCCCTTAAGTGCTCTTGCCAGGATTTGGTCATAACAAGAAAAATAATGAATACAGAGCCATTTTCATTTCATAGTCTCAAACCTCCCATGTGCCCAGTCAGGTAAGAGAATTGAAATTCAGAGGGTGATGAGATGTGCCCAGGCCCCCATCACCAATCTGAGTCCCTTTCTTCCTCTGTCTTCTGCAATAAACTTGGATGCCTTTGAGACTCTGGTCAAAGGTCTGGTTTAGAAGACAACATTCTGGGAACGGGCACTGGATCACTGCTGCATTATTGGGATTTGATAGAGGAAAGTAATACTAGACAGTCCCAGCTGCTGGGAAGGCATCAAATGAAAGAAGGAGCTTTTGGAAACACAATGTATGAGAACTTGTGGACCTTCCAGAGTAGCATTCTGACCAACATCACATTCCGTCTGATAGCTGGGGGAACAAAGCTTATTTTTATTCCCCCATTCCTGTACTAGGGATGGAACCCAGGATCTTGCATGCACAACATTGAACTACATCCCATCCTTTTCTGGTAATGCCTTTTTCTTGGGAGGTATTCTCATTAGTGGGGTGCCACTCTTCATGAGAATTTCTAAGGTGTAAGCTGTATAGCCAACCAGGAGATAACCAGAGATTCCCCACAGGCAGTCAGCAGACAAAGTAAGACTCTAATGACTTACCATTAGTTTTCTAGGACAGGACTTCTTTAAAATTCCACTCACAACCTCTTTTTATCCAATATTTTTTTCATGACCCCAGGTATATAAAATTGGTGTAAAAGCTATAGCAAAATTTATTTTAAAACAATTCTTTGGTATATGTAGATTTTCACCATTTATTAAAAATGAAAACCAATTTCTATCCTAGTGAGGTGGATATGCTTATTTTTAACATAAATAATTAAGTGTCAGCTAAATATTTGATACTATAGAACACAGAGCATCTTCAGTGTTTTTCAGAGTCGATAGCTTCGATTTTTATCATCTTCATCAATACTGAGAACATTGCTTGGCAGAAATACAGCAAAGGCATGTTTAGGGCCATTTGGGAAATTGTTGGAAATTTTATTCTAATCCCAAGTAAAAATTCTCTCAAGTTAGCAGTTCAAACAGCAATTTCAAAAATAAAATATTCTGGAGGCTGGTTGTGGTGGTACACAGCTTTAATCCCAGCACTATGGAGAAAAAGACAGGCAGGTAATTGTGAATTCAAGGCCAGCCTGTTCTAAAAAATGAAGTTCCAGGTCAGCCAGGAAATACATGAGACCCCGTCTTATAAACAGATAGGTAGGTAGGTAAGTAGATAAATAGATAATATACTTAAGATCGATCGATAGATAGATAGATAGATAGACAGACAGACAGATATGTATTTAAAAATTACAGCTGTAATCCTAGCATTCAGGATTACAGAGGCAGGAGGATTGTTGCAAATTTGAGGCCACCCAAGTCTGCATAGTGAGTTTCAGGTCAATTGGCTATGAAGTAAAACCGTATCTCAAAAAACAAAGAAAACCAAATAAAATGATAGGTTTTCCCCTCACAGCCCGTTTTCAAATAATAATTTGTTTTCCATTTTTACTAAATCCTTTGTTTTCATGAAGATACTTGAGTTTACTTAGCCCTCCTCAAGATGGCGCCATTCTATTCCATCACCCAAGCCTCTCCACTCAATGTAGTATCTGTTGCAATGCAAGCTATGTTCCGCCCGCCTCAAGACGACGACAAAAGTAGTAATTCTCGCCTCACTTTCTGCTCTCTTCAAGACGACCACAACGATCAACTTCAACCCTGGGGCACCCCCTCCCGACCTTCTCAAAATGGCGACGAAGCGAAGCGTCACCTCACAATGACGCTTTCAAGATGGCGCCGAGATCGTAAATCTGTGTCGCAAAAGTACGCAAACTCGACGTCGGGGCAAAGACACTTCCGGTTCCGGCTCGGGGCGGGCTCATAAGGCCTGACAGAGGCTTCGGGGAGGCTAGGTGCTGGGACCTGGTATCCTGGCGGCACGATGGACCGAAAGAAAAAACCTTTGGACGTTACAGCCTCCTCGGTGAGTTCGAGTGTGGCTTAGCTGCGTGCTCCGAGTTTTCCCGCTTTTCTCAGTCGAGAATGGCGACCTAACCTGTTGCCTCACGCAGGTCAGGAGCCTGGACTCTCCGTCTGTCTTTCTCCCCGCGGGGACCCTCGACAATTCCTTATTCTCAGGATCCTGAACCGAGTTTCGGCAGGGACCTGGACTAGGCTCGCCCTACACACAAGTCCCAGAAGCCGTCCTCCCCGGAATCTCAGGGTGCATCCTGCGGGTCAGCCGCCACAGCCCAGCCAGGCCTCGCTGTCTGCGGGGACCTGGACTATATGGGGCCCTTCCTGGCGTCTCCAATACAGAGATTCGACACCCCAGGACCCCAGAATACCTAGGGTCCCCCTAGCAGGACCCAGACAAGTTAGTTAGTGACTTATGGGATGGGCTGCCTCGGGCCGCGAGAGCTGACAGGATTTTGTCAGAATTTGGATTCAGTGCTTATACACTAAATTCAGCAGGGTGTAGTTGCACATGGCCTTTACCCTAACCCAGCATGTGAGAGGCCGGTCTCTGTGATTCAGAGGTCAGCCCAAGCCACATAGTTTCAGGATAGACTGGGCTACACAGTGAGACCCTGTCTTTAAAAACCAAACCAAAACAAACTAAAGCCAGATTATCCAGAGGATAGCATTTTCAAAAACTACAATACAAATGAAATCCAGGAACTGGTCATTTTGTGAGCTTAAATTCAGAAGTAATTGTGGAATAGAAAAATATGTAACTAGATAATTGATGCATTTAAGAAGAGGTAAAAGGCAAAATTTTCTTCTTCCTTCCTCCCTTCTTCCCTTCCTTCCTTCCTTCCTTGAAGAATTTTGAATATTGGGTCCTGGAGCGAGACTCCTTTATACTGTTAAAATTCCTACCAGCAGTACCTTTAAATAGATTTCTTTCAAATGGAAATCACTGAACTCATTCCCCCTCTTCCGCCCCCCAAAATGGTATGGGGCTGGAGGAATGACTCAGAGAGTGGTTAAGAATACTGACTGCTCTTTTTGGATTTTCGAGACAGGGTTTCTCCGTAACTTTTGGTTCTTGTCCTGGAACTATCTCTTGTAGACCAGGCTGGCCACGAACTCACAGAGATTCGCCTGCCTCTGCCTCCCAAGTGCTGGGATTAAAGGCGTGTGCCACCACCGCCCAGCTAATACTGACTTTTCTTCCAGAGGACCCTGGTTTATTCCTAGCACCCAGATAGCAGCTCACAACTTTCACAATTTTCCAGAGGAGTCTGACACCCTCATGCAGATACACATGCAAGCAAAACACTACTGCCCCAAACATAAAAAAGGAATCATTTTTTAAAAAAAACGATTTATTTTGTTTATAGCTGTTTTGCCTGCACCTTCAAATGTGCAACACATGTGTGCCTGGTGCCTTCAAAAGCCAGAAGAGGGCATTAAATTCGCTAGAACTAGAGTTGTGTATAGATGGTTGTAATGGTTGTATGCCACATGGAGGTTCTGGGAACCTAACCTGAGTCTTCTGCAAGAGCAGCAAGTATTTTCAACTCCTGACTCATCTCTTTATTTAGCTCCTGAGCTCAGTCATTTTTCTTTTCCTTGTCAGCCAGTAGTGCCTGACTTACAGGTGCCTGTGCGTATAGCCACTTGCCATCACATCATTTCCTCCCCCTTGTTAGAACTAACACAGCGGAGAGGTGGATGCCTCATCTCCTCACCTGTGCCCCCCCCCCATCACATTTTCAAACAAACTCACTGGACAGTGGTGGTGCTTGCCTTTTATCTCCTCAGCACTTGGTAGGCAGAGGCAGGCGGATCTCTGTGACTTTGAAGCCAGCCTGGTCTACAGAGTGAGTTCCAGGACAGCCAGGGCTATACAGAGAAACCCTGTCTCAAAAAACCAAAACCAAGTCAAATCAAAGCAACAAGAACAAACAAACAACAACAACAAAAAAGTAAAGCTTGACCCTGTACTTCTGGTTATATGTTCCACAAGCAGAAAGCGCTTCAGAAGTTAGTTGAATCCAATCTGTATCTGTATGTAGATTTCATTTGTTTATTATGTCACTTTCCTGTTGGCAGAAAAAAAAAAAGCCTTGAGTAGTAAAAGTTGAAGTAGAACTAAATTTGTAGCAAAACTACAATGAAACCCAATGTTGTTTAATTTTGTGTGGAGTTCTATATTTAAGCTTGTGTTTCTTGTCCATGTTCAGGAAGCCAAAATCTTGGAGAATTACAGTTGCTTAGCAAGCCAGTCAACTGCCACCAGCGAATGAAATATTGTTGTTTACTTTCTTGTTTTATTCTAGTTGGTAGATCTTAAGGCTGAGCTCTTCCGAAAACAAGAAGAATTCAAACAAGAAAAACTTCTAAAAGATTCTGGAGTCTTTGGAAAACCAAAGACAACTAATAAGGTAAAAATACCTCTACTGATTCCAAATATGGGAGAATTGCATTATAAGTTTTTGAAAAATGCCAGTGGTTATCTGTAAATAAGTAAATATAAAGAAAAAAAAGTCCCTGACTTATAATTGAACATTTGCATAAACTTTGTTAAATATTAAAATTAGTAAGATAATTTAATACTCTTATAAAAAGACTTATTTTAAGTATATATGTTGTGTGTGTGTGCTTGTATGTATATATATGTCATGCTTGTATATGCCATCTGTGTGTAGATGCCCTCAGAAACCAGAAAAGGGTGTTGAATCCCCTGGATCTGGAGTTATATGTAGTTGTGAGCCAAGTAATATGGGTGCTGGGAACTGAACTCAGATCCCGTGCAAGAGCAGTAAGCCCTCATAATGAATGCTAACCTATCTTTCCAGTTCCTATATTCTTCTTTAACATGCTGTTAATAATTGGGTTGTTCACATTCTCATGGAAGATTAGCATGTATTTTGTGTCCAAATAGAGATAAACAACTGTAATATATAGAAATAGACTTAAACTATGAAAGTCTTTAAGAGTTTTAAAACTTTTATAGGTAGTAATCTGCTTACTATATTCCTTTGTATTCTGCTCATATCCATTAGAATATTGAATGATGTTGTAATCTGTCATGGGTAAATGTCAGTTGAGAAATAACTCAGCGAAGTTCAGAAGGAAATTCTTCAGGTGATTTAGGAGTTTTCCTCAGCTCCAACTTTGTCATGGCCTGTCACGTCTGTTGTAAGCTGTAAGCTAGCTGTCAGAATAAGTAGTTCTTTGATGATTCATGAGATCCAAGGATTTTCTTTCCTTTTTGATGCTTTGTGATCACGTGGTTTTATTTTGTTCTTTCGAATCATTCTCCAGAAGCCAAGTATCTGGACCAAGCAGAATGCTGGTGTTTCTAGTCGAGCAGAGAAGGATGCAGAACAGAAGCTTGAAGAGCAGAAGACTTTAGACAAAGCAAGGTAGTTAAACCTGAAAGGGGGTTACCAGACCAAGAAATAAACGTTTAGTTGGTACTCTTCCTGATGTACAGATCTGATAGACATCTTTCTGGGCAAATGCTTTATGAATGTAAATACAGTGTCCTTTGATATCTGAGGGGCATTGGTTGGTTCTAGGTTCCTACTCTTCCTCAGATACCAAAGCTCAAGATGCTCCAAATAGATAAACTAGTGTGTGTGGTCTGTGAAAACAATCAGTACTCTAAAATCTTTTCTAGATTACTTTCTATGCCTAGTATGGTGTAAGCACTTTGTAAATAGTTGTTATTCTGTATTGTTTAGGGAATAATGTCAAGAAGGAAAATATGTACAGACAGATGCACAGTATATATTAGCAACAATATCATTGTTTTGGAATATTGTTTCTTTCCAGGTAGTTGAATCTGGAGATGTGAACTCTAGATGTGGAGGGCCAGCTGTCCCCTAAAAATGCTGTAATTTACACATATCTGTTGTCTTACACAAAGAAAAAAAATTGAGCTTAGAAGATGAAGTAGGGTCCTGTTTTAAGCTTTTATCACATACTAAATATATCAATTTTTAAAAAAGATTTGGGAAATAACTATTTGTTCTGGAAGTTGGCAGCGTCTTCTCAGAACTTCTGGTTCTGTTTCTTGGTGCTGGCAGCCTTGATGATCTTGAGCACATTGAAGAATACTGTCTTAACTTGGGCCTACACCCTCCCATGGTGATAATGTCACTAGTCTGTACATTCCCAAAAAGGGGACAGGCAGACAGATATGTTCTTGTGGTGCTTCTCAAAGCAATTGTACTTTTGGATATAGTAGATATAGTTTTAGATGATGACAGTGGTCCTCTGCATCTTCATCTTGGTCACGACACCAGACAGGATCTGCTCTCAAATAGAGATGTTATCAGTGAAGAGGCATTTCTTGTCTGTTTAGGTGCCCTGGATGGCCTCCTTGGGCATGTTGAGCTTGGACTGATGCTCTTGTAGTACTGAGGGAGCCTTTCCTTGCTTATAGAACCCATTTGTTGTTTTAAAAGATCATGGACTGCTTTTGGTAAACACACTCAGTCTGAATATCTGACATCTTTCTGGCAGACTGAGAAAAAGAAAAGGCTATATCAACAATTTTTTTGTTGTTATTGTTGCTTGCTTGTTTGTTTGTTCATTTTTTTCGAGACAGGGTTTCTCTGCATAGCCCTGCCTGCCCTGGACTCACTCTGTAGATCAGGCTGGCCTTGATCTTAGAGATCTACCTGCTTCTGCCTCCCGAGTGCTGGGATTAAAGGGTTGGGCCACCACCACCTGGCCTATATCAACAATTTTTTAAAACTTGTATTTCTAGGGATGGGATCCCAATGGTCTTGTCTGCTGAACCACATCTTCAGCTTAACACTTTGTTGTTGTTGTTGTTGTTTCGAGACAAGGCGTCTCTGTAATTTTGGTGCCTGTCCTGGAACTAGCTCTTGTAGACCAGGCTGGCCTCGAACTCACAGAGATCCACCTGCCTCTGTCTCCCAAGTGCTGGGAGAAGTGTTCCATGGACCCTATTCCCCATATTGGATCGCTTTACCCAGCCTCAGTACACGGGGAGATGCATAGTTTTATTGCAACTTGATATGCCATGTTTTGTTGATACTCTCAGGAGACCTGTCCTTTCTTAAACAAATGGAGGAGTGAATTAGGGGATGGGAACAGAGTGGGTATTGGGAAGAGGAACTGGGAGGAGAGGAGGGAGGGGAAACTGTGACTGGGATGTAAAATAAATAAATACATTTATTTATTTAAAAATAAAAGTCCCCATTGGGACTGGAGAGATGGCTCAGTGGTTAAGAGCATTGCCTGCTCTTCCAAAGGTCCTGAGTTCAATTCCCAGCAACCACATGGTGGCTCACAACCATCTGTAATGAGGTCTGGTGCCCTCTTCTGGCCTGCAGACATGCACACAAACAGAATATTGTATACATAATAAAATAAATAAATATTTTAAAAAATAAAATAAAAATAAAAGTCCCATGGTGTGTTCTAGGTTAGGTGATAGGACATTAGTATTTAGATACCCCAAAATTTCCCTCGCAAGCCAAGAATATAATTTGAAGAAAAGTAAAAGAAACATTCTAATACCTGTTTCCTAAATTCACTAATTAATATATTGTCATATTTGCTTTCCTCTATCCTTCTGCCACACCTGTAGAGGAAGACTTTAAGTGTCATGATAATTTACCTGTAAATGTTTCAGTATATATCTATCTGAACAAGGACATTATACTACTATATTTAACACTGCTGTGTGGCTCATATTTCAGATTTTACCATTGTCCCAACACAGCTTTGTCCTAAATAGGTTTTGTAAAAATTCAGGATTCACAAAATAAGTTCCAGGACAACCAGGGCTATTACACAGAGACACTCTCTGTCTTTCAAAAAAATCAGGGGAAAACAAAATCAGGATTTAAAGATTATATTCCATTCATGCCTATAGTTCTCAAATCTCTCCGCTTTTTTCCCCTTTTTTTTTTTTGTCAGTTACCCTGCTGACATTTTTAAGTGTCCAGGTCAGTTTTTTTTCTGCCATGTCACATGTCTAAATGAGGTTATATTAAAGTTTTTTGTTAAGACTGCTGTGTAGTCTTTGTATTTTACAGTGAGTCTTACCTAGAGGCTCATAATTGGTAATGAATTCAATCACTTGCTTAGAAACGTCTGGTAGAATTCTCTACTGTGAAGATGCCCTTTCTCCTATGTGGCTAATAGTAACCTGGGGTGGGAAGCTTTGAGACTAAGTATCCTAGTCACTACTATATTTCCATGGATGCTTTGTATTGTTAGTAAGCCGTGCTGCTGCTGAATTATTCGTGGATTTCCTCTGCTTAGTAGCTAGCATTCTTTTGTAAAGAAGAGGCAGTAGTCTCCTGTGCCTGGAGAATTCTAAATTGTAACATCTGCCGTGGTAGCCTTCTGCTTTGGTACATGATAGGAACTCTGCAGCTTCATTGGACTGGGGAGATGTCTCAGTTGGTCAGATGATTGCTGTACAAGCTTGAGGACCTGATAGAAAAGTCAGGCATGGTTGTGTAGATTTGTAATCCCACTGCTGGGGAGCAGAGATCCCTGGGGCTTACTGTCCAGCCAGCTTAGCTTGTTTAGGGATCTCCAGGTCCTACTAAGAGACCCTGTCTCAAAAACAAGGTGGTTAACTCCTAAGGAATGATACCTAAGGTCAATCTGTGGCCTTTACATGTATGTACACTGACTGATGCTTGGGCACCCAAAGGAACACACATGGAACCACCTTGCTAACTTATATGACAGTGAAGATGAGATGACATTACTTTGTGTTATCAAGTTAATTTTGTGGCAATCTGGAGAAGCAAAAAAGAAGAAAAGAATTTGCTTTTCCTTCAGTCTGGAAGAGCTGAGACACAGAAAGGAAAAGTTAAGTAACTTGTCATAATCATGTGAACTAGGGTTTTTGTAGTCTCTTCGCCCCATTAGGAGTTAAATTTCCCATTGTGATTAATGAGATCATGACACAGATGGCCTCTTTGGGGCTTCTATTTTTAGGTAATTAGAGAATTCCTTGCCCTTTTAGCTTGTTACTACTTGCTAAATGCCATCAACATTATGTGAGCAACGAGTCTGCTTTGTCAACATACCAGGGTTGTTGTCTTATATTAGTATGTAGTTTCAGTGTATTATTTGTGATATTGAAATAGATATTGTCATGTTTTTAACAAATTAAGTTGGTATAATGAAGTGTAATAAGCCACAAATGACCAGGACGCTGGTCTAAAAACACTATGGTAAAGAATCTTGCCTTGGGTCTGGTGATCCTTTTGGCAGACTAAATAGAAAATGTTTACATACATCTCTCTTACCACATGTAACTTAAGTTGCATTTAGCAGCTAGGTTGTTGGGCCTTAACTCAGTGCATCCCATTTGTTCACTTATCAGATACTTATTGAGCAGTTACTCTGTATCAGGTATGGCTTTTGGTCCTGCTTTCACTAATGAAGTAGATGAAGTGGGTCTGAGGTCTCTTCAGGACAGGACAGTTAGCACCTGTTGTGCCCATCTTTTCATGGCAGGTCTCAGGGGAGGTGTTAACTCTCAGCTGTCAGGGTGATAGTGGCAGAAGGGACAGTTATAAGACCATTTTTAATTCTTGTTTGTTTTTCTCCTAGGGAAAAATTGGAAGAAAAAGCCAAATTATATGAAAAGATGACTAAAGGAGACTTTCCAGGTAAACAAATGTTTATTTGTATTTCTTTATTGTCTACAATTTGTACAGATCCTCAGTATTATATTATCTGTTTAAATGATTCTAAGAGGGAGAAATTTAAAAAAACAACTCAAAACTTTAATTTCAGTGGTTATGTAGAGATAAGAAAATATTCAGTAATATTCCAATGGTTCACTGGGTGCCAGGCAGGGCCAGGAGAGTATAGGGAACCAGTTCTACAGCCCTCACAGCAGGTCTCATCTGGTGGAGGAGGAGAGCACAGCACCAGGAGAGTTTAAACAGACCAGCCTTGCATGTAGGGACATCCATGCATATGGGAAAGATAAGGTGTGCCGAATTATGGGTTATGCTGCCTCTTTTCCTGTTTCAGTTTTATCTCTGTGATGTGCTTTTTTTTTTTAACTTCATGGTTTTGCCCTATTGCATTGGTGTGTGAGTGTGGGCATGTTCATGCTACAGCATAGGTATGTAGTATGTGTTGATATTCACCTCTTGCTTTGTTTAAGGCAAAATTTGAATGGTCTATTCTGCCTCCCATCTTGCTGCCATAGGAATACTGGGATGTGCTTGATGTGGGTTCTGGGAATTCAAACTCAGGTCTTCATGTTTGGGCAGCAAGTTCTTACGCACTGAGTCATCTCACTTTCTTTCTTTTCTTTTTCTTTTCTTTTTTTTTTTTTTTTTTTTTGATTTTCGAGACAGGATTTCTCTGTAGATCTTTTAGTTCCTGTCCTGGAACTAGCTCTACTAGACCAGGCTGGCCTCAAACTAACAGAGATCCTCTGGCCTCTGCCTCCTGAGTGCTGGGATTAAAGGTGTGCGCCACCACCGCCCGGCTCATCTCACATTTTTAAATTTTAGTTCTCTCCTTATATTTATCCAGTTGGGAAATCTTTAATTTTTCTTTTTACTAATTCCTTGCTCTTTTTGTTTTCTCTCCAGAATATTTGTTTCCTTTCCTCTTCTCTTTGCTTCCTGTATTTCTCCCTTTTCCTTGCCTCTTTCCTTTATCATACTTATTATTTTTATTCTAAGTAATTACGACTTCATGGCATATTCAATTAGTAGTTGTACATTGTGCTTTGAATTGGTTTAGAAATTTGTAATACAATTCCCTTTTGTCATATCCCCCTGAAATAGCAGAATTCATAGTTGGACAACAGTGTAAGAGACTTTCTGGGCCAGTGTACACACCATTGGCAGGAGGCAGAGAAAGCAAGTAAGAATTCAGGAAATTTCTAGAAGGAAATGGGCTTTGACCTGGTGAGCTGGAGGAAAGGATCCTGTCGGGGAAAGTGGTAAGAGTGGATCTTCAGAGTGGGGAGAGCTGGAGCTCAGCAGTTCCACCTTGCCTAGCAAACAGGACACCAGTGGGTGTGGCCATCATTTGCCTTTTCTCAGACTGCATCATTTACAAAGTTGGGGGCTGTGGTGACAGTGCTACACTCTAAGGAGCAAGATGGTCATTCCCAGCATGCCTCACTGGTGTGTACCTCTACATCTCACCTCTCAGAAACATATCTCTTCCCTTTTGAGATACTATGTGATATTGAAAACTTGTTTTATTCTTTTTTTTCTCTGGTTCAAACTTTTATTGTTACTATCGAAACCTAGAGGCTGGCTTAACTGTTGAGAGCACTTGTTGTACTTACAGAGGAACGGAGTTTGGTTCCCAGTACTCATGTACTCACAACTGCCTATAACTCCAGCTACAGGAGAACTAATGCCCTCTTCTGCCTTCTTAGGGCACTAGCACTCCCATGTACCCTTCTCCCTCATATGTGTAACTTAAAATAAAATGAAAATATAGTAACTCAATCAAAAGGAATGTGTTTGTGGAAATGGGGTTTTGTCAAAGCCAGCAGTCCTACCTACTGATCCTTCTATTGTACCTGTGTGTCTGAACTGGTTAAGTCTTGGAGCCTTAGTTGTCTTCAGTGTAACACTGTAAAGGGGGATATGACCACTTTGGTCATAGGGAACCCAGTGCATGTTGTAATTCAATCTCTGTCCTTAGGAAAAAACAAACAACAACAACAACAAAAAAAAACATGTTGAGTTCATCCCTATAGAACTTAACTCTTGCCTGAAAACGATGTCAACTTGTGAAAAGAACTCAAAAAACACGTGTGCGTGCATGCGTGTGTGTGTGTGTGTGTGTGTACATGTTTGAGACAGTGTCTCACCGTGTGTGTGTGTACGTACATGTTAGAGACAGTGTCTCACCATGTAACCCTACAGAGCCTGGCTCACTATGTAGACCAGACTGACCTTGAACTCACAGATCTACTTGCCTCTGCCTCCTTAGTGCTGTGATTAAAGGTGTGCACACCGTGCTTCAGCTTCAGAGGATATTGTTTACCTGCATTAGGATCTTTCAAGCACTTTCTGCCACACATTAGTATAAGAGTTAAATGATGCAATTCATATATTTAGAAAGCTCTGTTACATCACAGCAAGAAGGGTCCACTCTCCTGATTGGGAGAAATGCTGTTCTGCTTCTCTTAGACATTGTTGGCTCTGAGTTGCTCAAAATCAGTGACTGTGTTGTCTTAAATGGTCCTATTTCTCACACAATGTATTGATGACACAAACAGGAAACTCAAGGCTTTTTAAAGAGTATTATGGTCTGTGTTATGGATGGCCTATTTAAAGTTTTCTGTCAGGTGTTTTGTGTCTGTTGTCTCTGTAAATTGTTTGTGATGGAGGCATTGACTGGTGAATGAACAGTCAGGCAATAGGGCCACTTCTTAATTCCAGCTATGGTTTTCTTCTTTAATGTAAAGAATCCATAAATTGATTTTTGTGTTCTAGATGAGGAAGTGGAGGACATGTACCTTGTGGATTTCACACAGAAGATCATAGACAAGCGCAAAGAAATGGAGGTGCTTGGTGCTACTAGAGAGTCTGGAAATGCGGAAGAGAGAGATGATGATGAAGAGTTTTCTGAAAAAGACATACCTCCTCCCCAAGACCCCAGTGAGGAGTGGTGGGTAATATTGGAGCTTAGATCATTGTGAGCCCCCCAGACTTGTTTTGGCTTTTTGAGAATCATTTTGCTTGATGGTATCACATCATGTTTTCTTACTCTGCCTGGGTTTTCTTTGTCCTGAGAACCACCCCCTCTAAGTTGGGATGAGCTCGTGTTGTATAAGATTGTATAGATTTAAGCACACCAGTGGAGCAGTAACATCAGTGACTGCAGATAAGAACTGAGCATCTACTGTGCCCAGTGTGGTGCCAGGCCCACGAATCCTTGCACGGTCCATCAGTATCCTGCTCCCTCACTACATGTCCTGGTTCAGATGTCAGGTCCTGGGAAGTGGTCCCTTTTGAGTCCTGCAAAAGAAACTGGCAGAGTAGGCACAGTGAGCTATAGCCTAACTACATTCTTTTCTGGTATTGAGGTGTGGGTTCCAGCACTGCCTTCTGCCTGTGTGGACTTGATAAATTTGCAGTTTCTCTGAGGCCTAGCTTCCTTCCATGGAGAGTAGAGATGCAGTGCTTCAGTGCACAGCTATTTCCCTTAAATTCCCTCATGGAAGCAAGTGTGTTCCATTCTGGGGCATAAGCAGATACTTTGCAAAGCTCCGTTATTGATATTTTCCTGAGTTTAACCTGTACATACATAAAGGATGGAGGAATCCAGCCTTTTATAGATCAGATTGCAAATTCCGTAATGGTGTCTTTTATGCCACTTAGACACTTATTCAGCAGACCTTGCCATTGCTTAGACATTACTGATGTTCTTGTTTGGGGGATTTCTTAGAAGCTGCTCAGGACTGTTTGTAGATTTCTTAGCCTTTTGCTAACTCCTTTGGACAGGTATGCATAAATAAGATGTTTTTACTACTGTAGATGGCAGAGAACCTTTCTGTTAATAATATGGAAGGTGTCCACTGTGGTCCATACTTTCTTACCTTTTAAATAATTTAAGTCTAAAGTTAGAGACTATTGTGAGGGTAGGCATATGGCTGTATGCCACATGGAACCACAGAGAACGCAGCCTCTCTGTGCCTTTCTTCATCATTTGTAGTCTAAGTACTTGCTTCCTCTTCTGAACTATTTCTTGGGTCTTACCCTTTATTTATAGTTGACCCACTCTAGATCTTACTGTCTGCAAAACATCTGAGCCATACTTTTGCTTGTCTGGTTTTTGTTTGTGTGTGTGTGTGTGTGTGTTTTTTTTTTTAAGACAGGGTCTTTCTGTGTGACAGCTCTGGCTGGAACTTGCTCTGTAGACCAGGCTGGCCTCAAACTCACAGATATCTGCCTGCTTCTGCCTCCCAAGTGCTGGGATTAAAGGTGTGTGCCAACACTTGTCAGTTTGCTTGTTTTTATACTCTGCCTAAATTGTGTTTTCTGGCCTGCACCCCTCCTGTTTCCCTAGAGCCCTGTAGAGCTAGAGTACTCAGCCCTCTGTGGATCACCCAGCTTCTCCAGGCTTATGCTGGGACTGTTCAGTAAGCAGTTTCTGATGAGCTAGAGCCATTGCTGACTACTGTATTCCCTTGCTGGTGTTCTGTGTGTTTTGGAGGCCTGCTCCAGAACAGAATAGCTGTGATTGCTTTTCAAGGCAGAAATCTCATCTCTTTTGAATGGTCTAATGTCTTTTATTTATTTTTCTTATTAATGCCTATATGATTACAAGCAATTTGTCAGCAATTTGAAGAGTTTGGAGGGCAATTGAAGGTGTCGCATGATACCATATGGTGCAGTAAGACGCAATGCAAGCAATTCCAACACTTTTTTTGTTTTTGAATTAAGCTCCAGAATTGTTACTGCTTGTAAATCCTTTTGTTAATTAAATTCCAGGTGGTGGAAAATCTTTTTGCAAAAATACTGTAAATAATTACATGGACCATCTGGTTAGATTTCCCTTCCCCATTCATTGAAAAAAAAAAAAGGAAAATGAAGTTGCTGCTTTATATAGTTGTAGGTTTGATTTCTTCTGACAGTCGTCTGTAGAAGTGGATTTCCAAGTGTTTGGTTTTTAAAACATGGGCTAACAAGGAAATTGGCATCACTTGAGAAGAAAGAAATTGCAGGCAACAGCAGAGCTAGCTGAGTCCGACCTTTATCGCTTTGCTAACTTGCTTTACAGCATATATTAGGTGCTTTATTGTGTGTTGTGCACTCTACTCCAGACTATGGGAGATTCCTTGCCTATGATAGCAAATATAAAAAATCTGTTGCACTGCCAGGCAGTGGTGTCCTTTAGTCCCAGTACTCGGGAAGCAGAGGCAGGCAGATCTCTGTGAGTTCAAGGCCACCTAGGTCTGTAGAGTGAGTTCCAGGACAGGTTCCAAAAGTACGCAGAGAAACCTTGTCTAAAACAGACAAACAAAATTCTGCTGCACCATAGTACAAAGGAGATGTTTTCTATGAATACCTGCCCATACTTTGTGTTGTTAGGAAATCTCAGTGTTTTGTTTAACCTTACTGTGTGCTCAGCTTGCCCTGTCTCCACTGTCTGCTTTGGGCAAAGGTGAAGAAGGGTATATATTGTTTGTCTTGTTAATTAAAGTGTGTCCAAAAATTACCATGACTTACATTAAGAAACTCCTAAGATTGCTGGAAAGAATGTGTCAATTAGAAGTAGAGCAGTAATAGAAAAATTGAGGTTTTGTGGAGGGCACAAAAAGCTTATTGGATGTCATCTGCTAATTAAGAAGCCTTTTCTCTGTGTTGGTGGTCCCTTGGCTTCAAGGTTCTTGGTAACAAGGTATGTAACGGCATTGCTTCTTTAAAGATTAACTGTCTTCCCAACTTCTCACTTTCAGGGTGGATTATGTGGACTCTTTGGGCCGATCCCGACGCTGCATGAGAAAGGATTTACCAGATCTATTGGAGATGGATAAAAATCTTCAGGGAAGACTGTAAGTTTAAAATGTGACCTGTGTTTGGAACACAGCCATGGGAATTGTCTTGTGGGAGAGGCTTCTGACTATTTGTTACTCTGCTCTGTTAGGATCTTTAATGTGTAAGACTGTTATATACTGAAGCCTGTAATGTTTAACATATTCAGACACTCATAACTTTCCTCAGGGAACAACCTGAATGCCATTATTATTTATTGATTTTCTTTTCCTGAAACCCATTTTTGGGGGGAGTAGTGGGGAAATGAGTCACGTTATTTCCTGGGCTGGCCTTGATCTAGGTTTAAGTGATTCTTCTGACTTAACTTCCCAAGCAGGCACTCTGTTCTGGTCATGTACATTATAATTGCTGAAAGGGATGAGTAGACTGTTGAGTAGGCTGTCTGATCTAGGTCGCAAGTACAGAATGAGCCCAAACCTAGCTAACAAACCAGCCTTTATGGACAGAGGGATTTGAGAAGGTTCACTTGCATTTATTCACTTCTTATTTATGTGTCTTTGTATATTGAATCAAAGGCTTCGTGATTACATTTCTAATGGGAACCAAAGAAATAACATTCAAAAGTATCTTGGTGGTTAAAATTCCATATAGCCAGCTTTTATATGAGAAATATTGGAGAAGCTCCACCTGTGTGAGCCTTCCCATCTTGGGCATCCTGTGAGTAGGCCTGGAGTAAACACACAGAGGCCACAGCACAAACCATGACCACCTGCTGGGACAGGGATCTCTAGCAATGTCCATGTCTCTAAACCAGAGGCCATTCAGAGAAGGCCAGTGGTTCATCCTTCCTGGCTAGGCCACTTTCCATATGTCAACCAGGACAAGTATAGAAAGGAAAGTTGGTTGTCTTGAACACTGAGGCAAGATCCTATCATACTCATCTATAAGTCTGGTATTTAATTGTTGCTGTTTCATGGCACTCACCTGAACATAGGTTTCTGTTCCTCTACTAGTTTCGTTAGTCCTGCTAATGAAAAAACTTTATTATCTGAAGATATGAGGAAAGAACTTCAGCGCCAGCAATGGGAAGAAGAAGAAAGGGAGGCTCTGAAAAAGCCAATGGGGCCTATCCATTATGAAGACATTAGGGAAAATGGTAATGTTAATTTGGGGGGGAGGGGTATTTGTGTTTGTGTGTGTGGTGGTGGGTTTTTTTGTTTGTTTCTCTCTAGCCAGTAAGCACAAAGCCAGGTACTGACAGCAGCACCTCTGATACAGTCAGGCTGTGCATTGGAGGGTGAAATCATCCTCTTGTCCACAGCCTAAGAAACTTAGGGACCTCTTCCTAACATGTCTGTTAGCCTAAGAATTTGTTCCCAGAGAGAAGAGGATACAGCCAGGGCCGAGTAGCCTGTCTATATGTTTTTCACTTAGCCATTAGACTTTTTTGTTTTTTCTTAATCAATTTTTTTTTTAATTAAACTTGTGCTGATATCACCGTGTGTCTCTTTTGGTTTGTTAGGGAACTTGCTGTAAATGTGGTTTGCTAATCAGAGAAATCTAATGTTTTGATATTTTTGATTATTTCAGAGGCCCGACAACTTGGTGTTGGATATTTTGCCTTTGCCAAAGACAAAGAGTTAAGAAACAAGCAAATGAAAACTTTAGAGATGCTTCGTGAACAGGTATAAGTTAAATTTAAGGTTTTTGTTATAGGTTTGAATAATTTTTTTATTGCTAGGTCATGCTTTAAAAAATGTAGTAAATCCAGATAGGCATAATCAAGCATTGGGCAGAGAGAGAGTCCAAACTGAAGATCTCCATCAGGTCCCTCCCCTTGGAGCTCAGGAAGCCCCTTGGAAGAGAGGGAGGAACAGTGAGGAAGAATGGGAGCTAGAGGGATTGAGGACACCAGAATACCCAGTTCACAGAATCAACTAAGCAGGACCCATGTATCATGAATTCTAATTGGTCTTAATAATAAAAACTCAGAGTCAGATAATAGGGGTTAATGCTGAAAGATCATAAAAGCAGAAAAGCCAGCCACTAGTTCTTACCTCTACTGAATCCTCAGACCAAAGGGGCAATTTCTGTCCCTACGAATCCTCAGACTGAATGCTCTCTCTATGAAACCTCAGGCTTAATCTGAGCTCTTATCTCTTCCCTCCATATATTCCTCTCTCCACCCAGCCATATTACTTCTGTCTCCATCTCCATCGTGTTGGGATTAAAGGCATGTGATTCCAACTGCTGGGATCACCTTTGTATAATCTCTGTTTCTCTTTTAGACAGATTCAATCTCCTGCAGCCCAGAGTGGCCTTGAACTCACAGAGATCCGTCTGCTTCTGACGGTGCTGAGATTAAAAGTGTGTGCGACCACTGCATAGCCCCTATGGCTAACTAGTGGTTTAGCTCTACACTCTGATCTTCAGACAAGCTTATTTGTTAGATCACAAGCAAAATACCACTCCATATTCATACAGGCTCACAGAAACTAAAGCAGCAATCACAGAGCCTGCGTGGGTCTGAACTAGGTCCTCTGCATATATATATAATGGTTGTTAGTTTGGTGTTAGTTTTTTTGTTTTGTTTTTGTGGGAGTGGGGGTATCTCTGATTCTTTCATCTGCTCCTGGGACCCTCTTTCTCCCACTGGTTTGTCTCACCCAGCCCTGATAAGAGGGTTTATGCCTAGTCTTATTGCATCTTGTTATGACATGTTCGGTTCATATATGAGAGGCCTGCTTTTTTTTTTTTTTTGAAGGGAAACAGGAGGAGTAGATCTGAAAGAAAGGGGATTTGGGCTGGGGGCTGGGAGGAGTGGAAGGAGGGGAAACTTTTATGAGGACATATTTGTATGAGAGAAGAATTTAAAAAATGTAGTAAATTGAAAATTGATATTCAGAATGCTATTGTTGGTTACATACAGGTAATTATTAAATTATTGAGGGTTTTTCAACTCTAAAATTTTAACTGTACTTTGCTAGGTTTTGTTCTTATTAGTAATATATCTGTATATAATGTGTATGTGTCATGGCATGTGTGGTGGTTAGAGGACTTTAGGGAGTTGGTATCTCCTTCTGTCTCTGTGTTGATTCCAGAGATTGAACTCAGGTTGCCAGGCTTGCATCATTGCAGCATGCATCTTTACCCACTGAGCCATCTTGCTAGCCTTGCTGTTTTATTATTACTATTATTATTTTTTGTGTGTGTGTAAGCTCTGCCCGCATCTGTGTATGTGTACCGTATGCACACATGGCTCCTGTACAGGACATTGAACCCCTAGAACTGGAACTATGGATAGTTGTAAGCTACCACGTGGGTGCTAGCAACTGAACTTGGGTTCTCTGCAAGAGCCACAGTATTCTTAACTACTGATTCCAGCTCTCAGCCCTGCTGTTTTAAGTCTAGCTTCAAACATAGCATTTTGGGATGATCTGGGTGAGGAAATAGGAAGCTGTGTTAAGGGATTAAGGAGCAGAAGAGAAATGAATGGCTTTCTTCCATGTGGAGGCTTCCATGGGGTTCTATGAGTTCTCATTAAGCTTCCTAAGGACAGTCCTTTTCATAGGCCACCATTTTCAGGGTCTTGGGGAGAGCTACTTAGATGTGCTGTTAAAATTAATTAGCACTTTAAAAAAAAAGAATTATTTCATCATTTTAAACAGAAATGTGAATTTGACTTCGAGTGAATAATTTTCTAATTTTTTGTTCTGTTCAGACAACAGATCAGAGAATAAAACGAGAAAACATAAAGGAAAAGCGGAAGGCTATGTTAGAAGCAAGACTTGCCAAACTTCGACAAAAAAAGATTAAAAAATCAAAGGAAGATGGGACTGAAGAAGAAAATAGAGGTATTTCAGTCTTAAATTTCTGACTTTCACAGGGAAAACTTAGATCTCTTGGTGTTCACTAATAGGATTGCAGTGTAGGAATCAGCAGCTTAGTTTTATCTTTAAATTCCACGTGCCTTTGAAGTACCACCAGGACCAGTTTTTATTGCTCTTAATTATTTTATTGCTCTTAAATATTTCCATTGACTTATTTGTTAATGCATGTGGTGTGTGAGCGAGTGTGAGTGAGCATGTGTCAAAACACAGGTACGGAGATCAGAGGTCAGTTTTCAGTAGTTTGCTTTTTGCTTTCTCTGTGAGTGAAAGGTCATCAGGTTCCTTAGCAGGCACTCTTACCCACTGAGCCATCTCGCTGTCCAGGAACAGTTTTTATAGCTAGAATGGTTTGGAATGACACTGTCATGTTTTTAGGCAATAAACAAGACACATTGAGTTGCTTCTTATAATGACAATTTAGTAAACCAATACTTAAAAGTTTGGCTGTGTACATATATAAGAAATAAAGTTTTTAAGTTTAAAAATATAGACAAAAATATAAAACTACGTATTTGGGGGGTGCCATGTGATGTCTTCCATAACTGCATATATTATGTGATAAAAATCAAGGTAAAGGTATGACCAGTTGCACAAAGTTGTCCTCTGACCTATATGCTGTGGCAGTCACACCCACTCACATAGAGAAATAAGTACTAATGTCTGACTAATCAGACATGCTTGCTGCTCCCATTAACATTTACTTCAAAATCAGTGTTAAATATTTATTTTTGGTTTTTCGAGACAGGGTTTCTCTGTATAGCCCTTGTTGTCCTGGAACTTGCCCTGTAGATCAGGCTGGCCTCAACTCAGAGATCTACCTACCTCTGTTTCTTGAGTGCTGAGATTAAAGGCATGCGCCACCACCTCCCAGCTTAGTATGTTGAATTTTAAACCCATGGTAATAAGGTCTTATTTCCTTACAAAACTAGGTGGAGATGTTACTGTGCTTTTGCCATCAGAACCAAAGACTGTACCTGCTCCACCTCCTGTGGCCCAGAACAGCAAGGTAGAAGTCATCATCCAGGAGCGGAAGGATACCAAGCCTGGAGTGCCACACATCCGAGAGTGGGACCGAGGAAAAGGTAGGGTGGAACTTTTAGGTCTGAAACTTCCTAGTGAGGCCCTTGGAAAAGTAGTTTTTGTTTTAAATCAAAGTAAGATTCTGGTGCGATTTTGTTTTTATTTTTTTATGGTGTAGAGTTGGATCCGGGCCTTAACATGCTAGGAAGAGCTCTACATCTGAGCTCCACCGTCAGCTCCACAGGGGGTCGTAGTACTCCTGAGGCTTAAGGAAGTCTCCAGGTCTCAGCTTGTTTCTTCTCCATCCTGGACACTAGTTGTTTATACAGGGAAATGGGTAAAATGTGATCACAAAAGACCAGCATCTGCGAAGGCATTCTGTCCACAGAATGAATACATTTCTGAAAATTACTTGGCAAGTTTAAACCCTCTGGAATATAACTTTTCAGGAACTGCTTTTAAAGTATGCTGGAGGTTTGGTGTTCTGAGGTACTCTGTCTTTAGGCATCCTTTGTGTTTGTTTGAAAGCTTACCTAAGCTTCCATTGTGCATGCACGTCTTTCTCTAAGTTTTCAACAAGATGCCCACCACAGTCTTCACTGCAGCAGACTGTGTTTTATGCCTGTTGCAAAGATACTCAGTGGAACCTTAGCGCCTGCTGTTGGAGCTGGCAAGAGAAATCTAAGAGCCACTGTTCAGATCGGATGAGTCCCTTCTGTGTCCGCCAGAACTCAACAAATGACAGACTGCTTTGATGTGAAACACCTACCATGTCAACTTCAGCAAATAATTGATTATTTCATTTCTCTGTAATTGGAGTGCCCTTTACGCAGTTGTGGTCCAGAGCATCTCTACAGAATATCTTTTTTTTTTTTCTTTTTTTTTTGAGACAGGGTTTCACTGTTTAGCTCTGGCTGTCCTGGAACTCATTTTGTAGACCAGGCTGGCCTCAAACTTACAGAGATCCACCTACCTCAGCCTCTCAAGTGCTAGGATTAAAAGCATGTGTCACCACCGCCCAGCCTGTGGTAGCTTTTAAATGCATATAAGAACTAAAAAATTTTTTTAAAAAATGAAAAATTATAGTAAACTTGACTGGTTCATAATTGTTTCTAATAATATTCTTTCTTATTTTCACTAGAATTTTCTTTTGGGTTCTGGTCGAAGAAGCAGTCAGAACTCCGGGCTGAACGAGATCCTGAGTTTGCCCCACCATCGAATTACTTTGTGGGTCAAAGGAGAACTGGTGCTTTGAGTAGCCAGCCATGGAGCAAACCGGGACCAGCACCAAGCCACTCGGGACACGGCTCTGGCTCGCCACACCCATCTTCTTCTACCTCTGAAAGCCCATCACAGGCCTCCACAGTCACTTTCCAAACCCTCGATGATATGATATCTTACTATAAACAAGTCACATGACCTTGAAAAGCATGCTGTTGCGTTTGTATCATCAGAAATCAGGATAGGACTGAGTTTTACATTTTCCTTCCTGTCCTTTCCCTAGGATGCACAGGCTTGAGGCCAGATTACTTAGAAGGGAGGAGTGAGTCTGCCCATGAGAGCTCACTGGCTGTTTAGCTGTCCATTTTTAATGCTTGGTGTAGAGGGAATTTAGCTCCTCCCCTTCATGCTGACCCAGTTGTAACTCATTTGGATTTCCAGGTGTGAGAACTGTAAATACTAATCTAAAATTTGATACTGAATAACTTGTTTCTTTTTTAGGTTATTTTATGTATGTGAATGTTTTGCCTTTCTGTATATGTGTGCACAAACGTGTGTGCCTGGTGCCCAAAGGGGTCAGAAGGGTGCATTGAAACCCTGGAGCTGGAGTTATGGATAGTTGTGAGCCACTATGTGGGTGCTGGGAACTGAACTTTGATCCTCTACAAGAGCAGCCAGTGTTGTTAACTACTGATCCATCTCTCCATACCTGCAGAGGAGCTTATAACCCTGTTTCACAAACACACCCACCCATGACTTTGCTTATAGGACTACATTCCTTTCCTTTCAGAAATGCTAGCATGCTGGTGTCTGCTCCACAGATTCTACTTCCCAGACAGGTAATGGAGCAATATCAGGAGTTTTTACCTGTCTATCAAGCAAATAAGGTACTATTGTAGGAGGCGAAGTGGAAAAGGGAAACTGGTAGAATGCTAACTAAGCAGTCACATCTGAAGCCATAAGGTCAGAAAGAGCACCTACAATTCAGAGAGGGAGAAGTTGATTGTTGATCTGTGTCAACATGTTATCCATTTGCCTACATCCCTGTTTCTCTGGACATCTGGAGTTGTGCTGAATTACTTGGGCATTCCTGAAGGCTGCTGAACCTGGTTAGAGACCAGCACTCCTAGTTTTGCCAATTAGAGCTTTGACCTTGTCTTTCTCTCCTGCCTTAGTACATCCTGGTGTTTCCATTGCTTGAGGCTTTTTTGACTCTCTGTAGCCTGACTTGGACCCCATTGTGTAGACTAGGTAGGTCCCTGCCTGTATCCTTATTGAATCCACAGGATGTCACTACGTAGGGGGTCAGAGGATTAACCCATGCAACTGCAAACAGGCAGTCAGAAGTTGGCTGCCAAGCCTTTGGGAGCAGTGGGTCGTTTCCAACTCAAGGAAAGTCTCTGCAGTGCCCTGAAAGAATGGAAAGAGGTGTGAGGGAAGACCTACTCTTTGGGGTCTCCTTGATAGTTTTTTCTCTGCTCACATAGCACTGCATCATGAGTAGAAGTGTTTGATTTGTCCTGTGATGACCCACCTGGCGCAAGGTCATGTGACATCTAAGCGTCAGTTCCAGGACTTAAACAACTTATATCTAACCTCTAGACTCATGCACCTTTTTCTAGCACCTAGTCTTCTTTGTCTCCCAGTATGAAGAAAGTTACCTTTGAACTCCATAGCAAAGGGAAACCTAGACATAATGTCATTCTTTCAGTCTCATCAAACAAATACCTCTTAATATACATCAGAACGCTAACCCAGCTGCTTTTTTTTTTTTTCCCCCAGAAATGACAAATGCATCCTAAAATTCAGTGGAAATGCCAGGGACCCAGAATGGCCAGAGAAAAGATGGAGGACCAAACTTCTTGATTCAAGACTTTGCAAAGCTAGCACAGTACAAATGGTGTGGTACTGGCACAAGAGCACAGGCACAGGCACATAGGTCAGTAGGGTAGAATAGAGCCAGGTATTCGTGGGCAGTTGACTCTTAATGAGGCTGGCAGGACCATCCAATGGGAAGGAATGCACATTTCACAACATATTGTCCAGGGCAAAGCAATGAGTTTTTACCTGGCACCATATCTAAAAGGCAACTCAGGATAAACTAAAGACCCAAAAGTAGGGACAGAAACTAAAAAGTCCACCTGTAGGTGGGCAGAAGTAGTCCAGCACGGCCACTCATCACTGACAACTAGTAACTGTAGGTCACGTTTTCTCTGGGGTTTTGAAGACTCTGTAAATCACTTTCTAATCCCTTGTTTACCACATCAATTATAAGGCTTTTTGACAAGCCCAGCTTACCTTCCTGTTTCAGCTCCTCAGATGAAACATGAAATCCACTTCAGAAAGTTGTTTCTCATGGAGCAGTTTTGTATGCGAGTGTCCAGAAGATGGCAGCAGACCCTCAGAGTTCGGATCCCTGCTCTAAAACAGTACTGGCGTCATAGGGATGCAAGGAAAAGTGTCACTTTCAGTTTTCTTTCTTTTTGGTAGACAGTTTTATGCAGCTCCAACTGGATATGTAGCAGAGATGATTTTGTAGTCAGTACAATTTCATACATGTATGTATATAATGCATTCCATTTCCCTTCACTCTCCATTCTTATTTCCTTCCACCTGTCAGCTCCCCCTTTTTCTTACAAGTCCTTTTTTCAGATTCTATTCTTTTGTTGTCTTGTGATCCACTGATTTTATCTGACTGCCTGTGAGACCATGGGTTTAGTTAGTACTGTCTATTAGAACCTGGACAATAACAGTGACTTTCCCCCAAAATCCATTGTAGACAGTTGTCCAGCAAGGAGAAATAGGGTCCCATGAACCCCTCACCAGTCAGTGATTGCTTCTTGACAGTTGTAGTCTTTTGGAGGTCCTGTGCAGGTAGTTGAAACTGCTCTGAGACTATATGTGCTGTGTCGTGTATGCAGTGGCTATGTTGTGCCCTAGAGGTGGCATTTCACAGCCCTCTCTGTCTTCTAGTTTTACATTCTCTGTTCCCTTTCCTGATGTTCCTGAGCGTAGGATAGGCACTCAGCCATCGCTTGTTCTCAGAACCTTGAGCACCATGTGCATAGTCACAGAGAGGCCAAAGTGTCAATATTGCATTTCTGATCCCCCATTTGTGTCTCTATCTCCAGAGTGCTAGCATTATAGGTGTACACCACCACATCTGGTTTATGCCTTGCTGGACTTCTTTGCATTTTGGATACGCATTCTATCAGCTGAACTACATTCCCAGGTCATTGTAGCTTTGTAAGAACCATATTTAAAAAGTGAAATTAGTATTTTTCTATTGAACTTAGTATATCCAGAACATCTCAGTATATAGTCAGGATACAGGGACCATCAGGAGATACTCTATTTGTTTTGTTTTTTTTGACAGGGTCTCTAAGTAACCCTGGCTGTCCTGAAACTTGCTATGTAGACTAGGCTGGTCACAAACTCAGAGATAAGTCTGCTTCTGCCTCCCTGGTGCTGGGAATAAAGATGTGTGTGCACCACAACACCCACTTTTGTTTTTGTGTATATGTGAGTGCCTGCGTGTATGCCTGGTGCCCTCAGGTCGTAAGAGGGTGTCCTCTCCTGAAACTGGAGTTACAGGTGGAGCTGCTCCATGGGTATTGAGAACAGTCCTCTGCAAGAATAACAAGCACTTTTAACTGCTAAGACCTCTTCGTTCTTTTTCATATTAAGTCCTCAAAGTACACTGTTTCCCACAGTGTAACTGAGCTTGCATACTCACAGTGTAACTGAGCTTGCATACTCATTTTTCACCAGAAACATTTTATCTGTATTTAGGTGTCATAAAGCAGTTGAAAAAAAACTTCATATCCAAGTTGTCCCAAACAAACATTTAAGTTCTCTGATAATTGAATTGAGTGAAAATTTAAGAATTTTCATTGCTTTTTTTTTGAGATGTTAGGTTTTATCTTACACATGCTTGTCAAATGCACTACCACTGAGCTACAGCCCCAGCTTCCATTTTCAAGTTCAAATTTTATTTGTTATTATTATATGTATATTTGTGTGTGGAGTGTATGTGCCATTTGTAGAGTTCTATTCCACCTTTACATGAGTTAATTCCAGTTCAGACTTAGGTTTCCAGGCAAGCAGCTTTACTCTGTTATCTGGCCCTCCTTCTCCACCATTTTCATTTTCAGTGAAATTGAAGTTGAATTCCTTTCTTGTCCTAACCTCTTCTGAGTAGGACTGTTCCAAATGATCATTTACTGGTGTTTGTGGTCCCTGTGCATTGTCTACCTGTTAGTGACCAAAGGACTGGCAAGTCAGTGTCTTCCAGATGCACATCTAAGACACTCTGTGACTGTCTTACTTGGGGACAGGAAGTGGTGAAACCTACAGAACATTCCTGCATCTTATTTGTGCCTCTGGAGAGCAAAGCAGACCGTTTAAGAAGAGGCTGTTTTGAGTCCTTGTTTTCATTGTAACCTCTCTCCGGGCCCTGTGTGCATTGGTGCAGTCAATCATTCTGCTGGGCTGCAGAATTCCCAAAGGAGAATGTTCAAATCCATATACATGAGATGCATGTTGTACCTAGCTATACATTTGCCAAAGACTTGGGTCATTCCCCAGGGTTGCTGTTCAGCTGGCCTAGTTGTGACATACAGATGAGGCAGTGGAATTTAGAACCTGGAACGGGGGTGGGTACTGGTCTTTACAGTTAACACAGCAGGATAGCCACAGCATATGTAGTTCAAGTTTTCTTTTGAGCCAGTGAGGCAAGCTGAGTCAATTATATATCAGACTGATCACATAAAATGCTACTTAACCAAGGTGAGTGATGATATTGAAGATGATTTGGTGACTTGGAAAGGTGAGAGGAGACTAATGCTGACTGACTGTGAGGACTCACGTGGTTGGTAGAGGCTGTGGGCATTTGCCTCCATGTTTGAAGAGTAGGCAAGTGTGGTGCATGTGTACTGGTGAGGGCTTCAGTGTGGTGGGGTCGATGCTGATGTCTGGGAAACTGGAAAGTCAAGATGCTCATGTGAAACCATGTTTTCATAAGAACCCATGTTGGGGTTGGCTGTGCATGCCTTTGATCTTAGCACTCAGACAGGCAGATCTGAGACTACCCTTAGTCTACATAGTGAGTTCCAGTCCAGCCACAGTTATACAGTGATAATGTGTCTCAAAAACAACTAAATTAAAAATAAAATAAGCCCTGACCTCTGGCAGAGCATTGGTGCTTTGCAGTGGTTTCTTACATCCAGGCTGCGCATGTGTGTGTACAGTAAATGAGTATCCACCAATAGGAGCAGTCAGGATCTTTTCTCCTTTTCACAATCACTTTGAGTCCCTTCCTCCCTCCCTTTCTTTTTCATTTAAATCCATTTCTAACTGCCCTGTTTTTCCTTACTTCAGAAGCCTATATGCTTTTGTCAGTGTGGCCTGGCTTCAAGCATTTTCTCTAGGCTGTGCTTTATCCTCTTCTGTGTCTTGTTCAGTGTCAGCGTTAAGCTCCCCTGAACTGGAAAGCTGGTGTCCACCTTTTCCTTCTCCACCTGCTTCATCCTCTCCACCCTTCCACAGTTATTGTGGTCTGAGGTTTTGTGAAAAGACCTGGCTCTGCTCCCTACATGGTCTCCCAGGTTACAGGTATTCTGAGTTGTGCAGGACATGTGGTTTATGTAAAAATCTTTCTCTAGCTCTATGGATGCTATTTTGAATTTCTAGAGAATGGTGGTCAGTGCAGTGTAGAATGTAAACTAAGCACCACAGGGCTGGTTTGCTTTTGCTTAAGATTTCTAAAACTGAGCTGCTCAGTTATTTTCAGTCACTGCCTAGTAGTTCATTAAAGTAACAGAAACACACAGGTCAGTGCTCAGACTTGTTAAGAAGGAACTACCAGCTATGGCATCTTTCAGATTGATTTAATAATTGTCTTATGCTGTAGCCTTCCCTCTGCTTTTGAAATGTTGCCTTGAGCATCACTTTGAGACATGCTATCACTAGTTCATATGGACAGACATTCTTGATCTCTCCTCAGGAAACCCATCTCAGTTGGGACTTGTTAACACTGCAGTGGATGTCCCTGCAAAAGGGCCAGTTATTTAGAAGTGTTGGCACCCCAGGACTACATCACCAGGGTTTCATGTTGAGCCTTGGTATAACATGAGGTGAAGCAGACTGCATACTAGCTCACCATGTGTGCTAAGATGCACTTTTCCGTGCAACCTATTTTCTTCCTTGCTAGAGAGTTCTCTAGCATCTCTCCCTCAGGTGCCAGGCAGCTCAGAGGACAGCAGGGATGATCATTTCTGTTCTGTCACCCACAAGCCATGCTTGTACACAAGACAGTCAACACAAACCACCTCCTACAACCAGTCCCTTAGAGGGACATCTGTAACTAAAGCCAGAGGGAGCCAGAAAGTAGAAAGGCAGGACCAGATGACCTGAGGAAGCCTGCTTTCTCTTTGAGTATTGTTATATGCACTGTTACCCAAATGTGTTTATGGCTCAGTGCCACAACAAGGAAGAATGTGTGTCCTTCCTTTTAAATCTCAACACAAATTTGCCTCCTGTCACATGTGCCTTGCTGTTTTGTGGTATGTGTGCTCACAGCAGTGTCACAAAAAGTAGGAGTAATTTGCTGCACAGTGCTGCCATGGCCTAAATGATTGAACATTTCAACTCCATTGTGACCTGAAGTGCTGAGCATGCATTCTGTCATCATGTGCCCTTGGCAGTGCTGCCTGAAATGTTTGAATACACAGCAACCTCAAGCTTTAGTTTAACAGGCATGATTCTGTTCCATCTGTGGCTCTCTCCAGCCCACTGTCCTCAGAGGGCTCTGTTATAACATCATGTGTTTTTTTTTTCCTGTGAACTGCTTGTTGCCTTCTTAACTTCAGGGACATCTTTTCGTCTCCTTCTTTTGACACTTCTTTGGGTGTTATGGTGGTTTGAATGATAGATGTCCCTCTATTTTTAGGCATTTGAATACTTGGCCTCCATTTTGAGGCACTATTTGTGTGGGGGGGTGGCGAGTAGGAGCTATGCTTTTTTATTTCATAGAAGGTTATAGTTAAGAGATTACCTTGGTCTCAACAAACTTTGACTTTAAACTTTGGACTTTAAAACACTGCTGTGACTAAAGATTACAGGGCTTTATAGTTTAGACTGAATATATTTTGCACTATGATATGGCAATGACACTATGGGGGCCAGGGAGTGAAATGTGATAGTTTTGAACAATGAATGTCCCTTTGTATTCTCAGGCATTTAAATACTTAGCCCCTGGCAGTGTTGGGGAATGTGGCTTAGAAGGATCTCATCATTGAGACAAGTTTTGAGAGCTTAAAGACTTGTACCATTTTCAGATTACTCTCTGCTTGCTGCTTGAACTTTGAAATGTGGTCTCTCAGCTGTTTCCACCACCATGCCTTCCTGCTGCCATGTTTCCCCATTGTGATGGTAGTCTTGATCCCTCTGGAACCATAAGCCCTTCCTTCCATAACTTGTCACCTCAGTAGAAACGCAGATATACAGATATCCATGGCATTTGCACATTTTTCTGAAGTGTGATTCCTATTGAAGGCAGTTTCATTTATTCTTCCTTTTGACATCGAAGTTCTCCAAGGCTCAATTCTGAAAAAGTGAGTGGCAGAATAAAAGTAGACAAGAGAGTAGAGTAACCTAAAATGCTACTTCTCAGGAATCATATTTGATGGCAAGAATAGAGGTGTGAATGAAGAAGTAGATTTTAGACACTAGGAACAAACACAAAAGAAAGGGTCATCTTTCTATGTGAGAGAATTTGGAGACAGGCAAAAGGGTGGTATGGGGTCCTACAATGTTATCAGTAGTTTAGGTTCTATTGTTCTATATATGGCTACCTCTAGCTCATGGCTTCCCTCTTCAAGGTAACCTCGTGGTTCAAAATGACTGCTGGGAATATACCCATCTCATCCCTTCCAGGCAAGACGTATGAGAAGGGCAGTGAGTGACTGAAAGGTGTGTGTTCTATAAAGACAGCCTCCTTTACAGGTAAGTCTCAAGGTCCTGTACTCAACAGCTTCATATTCATCTTAGAGATAGACTGTAGTTAGATACTTTTTAAGGCTAATTTTGAAGAGATGTAGTATGTTACCTGGGCATTTAATTAAAATAACATTTCTTTTAAAATTGCTTCTTAGATCTGAGTAGATATGTTTCCAATTATATAAAATATGGTAAGCATATGGAAAAGTGCTTAGCATCTCTAGACACATGGGATTGTAAATCAAATCACTACCTTCATACCCAGTGTGATGATACCAGAATCAAAACAGTAGTGACAAGATTTGTTCACAAGGACATATAGAAATTGGGATCTCTGTACCATTGCTGGTGACTGTGAAGTAGGGTTACTGCTTTGCTAAAGCCTGGAGTTCTTCAGAAAAGTAAACATTGAGCACTGGAGCAATGGTGCAGTCAGTAAAGTGCCTGCTGTGCAAACTTGGGGACCTGGGTTCTGAGCCCCAGTGTGGGGTGGAGGAGTAAATGGGGATGGGGAGAGACAAATGCCAGTCCAGCCAATCAGTGAGTTCTAGTTTTAGAGAAAGACAAAAGTGAAATGGAGAATGGTCAAGAAAGTCACTAAAAACTAATCTGTAGCCTCACACACACATGCATATGTACCCTTCCACACATGTAACACACCCCACCCCACACTCACAGATATACAGGCTAGTAAGAGGACTCAGCAGGTAAAATGCTTCTTGTGCAACCCTGCATAACTTAAGTTGAGCCCTTTGAATCCATGTAAAGCTAGAAGGTGAGGGTCAACTACATACAGTTGTTCTCTAATCATACAGATGTACAATGATAAAATGAAAAACAAGATCTGGTGTTTTTTATTTTGTGTATGGGTATTTTGTTTGCATATATGTTAATGTACCACATGCATGAGTGATGCCGTCAAGGCCAGAGCAGGGCATCAAATCTGGAACCAGAGTTATAGATAGTTGTGAGCCACCATGTTGGTGCTGGGAATTGAACTTGGGTCCTCTGGGAGAGCAGCCAGTGCTCTTAACCACTTAACTATTTCTCCAGCCCCATGGCACCTGCCTTTATTCCCAGCACTCAGAAGGCAGAGACAAGTGAATCTCTGGGAGTACTGAGGACAGCCTATTCTACATCATTTCAGGCAAACCAGAGCTACAGTGAGACTGTCTCAACAAACAAGCAACAGTAAAACCCAAAAAGTAATGAAGTACTTGTGCATGCTGTTACATGGGTGAACTTTTAAAAATTGTTTTGTGTATGAGTGTTGTGTATGCATGTATGTCTGTGTACTGTGTGTGCAGTGCCTGAAGAGGTTAGAAGAGGGGCATTAGATTCCCTGGGTCTGGAGTTACAGATGGTTGTGAGTTCTAAGAACCTGGGTCACTCTGCACTGCTGATCCATGTCTCCAGGTCATGGCTATTTTTTTTTCTTTGAGACAGGCTTTCTTTGTGTAACCTTGACTGTCCTGAAACTTGATCTGTAGACCAAGCTAGCCTTGAACTCAGAAATCTGCCTGCCTCTGCTTCTCCAGTGCTGGAACTAAGGCATGTGCCATCATGCATGGCCCATCACAGATAAACTTTAAAAGCATCATGGCAAACAAAACAACCATCACAAAGGAGCATGCATATTTATATTTTTATTTCTTCTTTGAGAATTTCATACATGCATATAATATATTGTGACCTTATCCACACACACCCATTCCTTCCTACTACCTCTCCCAAAATCCGCTAATCTTTTCACCTGGTAACTTCTTGTCTCTTCTTTCTTTCTTTCTTTCTTTCTTTCTTTCTTTCTTTTTTAAGAAAAGCCCATTATATTGACTACCTTTCCATTTCTGTGACAAAATACCATGACCATAAGCAACTTACAGAAGTAAGAATTTACTACTTTGGCTCACTGTTCCAGAGGGAAAGCCTGTAATGTCAAAGAAGGCGTGGCATGGTACAGGAAGATAACTGTTTACAACTTTATTTACTCACCCAAAGCAGAGAGAGAAAGTTAGATTGGGAAGTGAGGCAAGGACAAAAACCCTCAAGGCCAACTCCGGTGACACTTGAGTCAGCAAGCTTGCACCTCCTTACAGGCTCCCAAAACTTCTCCCAGAATAGTGCCACCAATCTAGGACCAAGAGTTCAAATATGTAAGCCTGAGACATTACTCATTTAAACCACCATGCCCACCAAGTCCAATTAGTGTTACTGGTATGTCCATATATAACACACACACACACACACACACACACACACACACACACACATATATATATATATATATATGCTGGGAACCATATATATCCGTGACCATATTCTCAAACAAACATGACTTCTTCCTCCAGTAGCCATCAAGTACCAAGAGCTCTTAAAGGGGTAGGAAGGATTCCCTTTATATTAAATGTTCAGAACAGGCAAATACGGGCTACTAGGAGATAGGAGCTAACTCAATTGATATCTTGCCGACTGTGCAAGTATGAAGGCCTGGATTTGACCTCCAGTACTATATTTACTGTGCAGTAATTCCAGATTTCTGGAGAGAAACAGATTTCTGGAGCTCATTGATCATCTGGTCCCGCCTATAAGTGACTCCCAGTTTCTAGTAAGAGACCCTGTCTGAAAAGAAACAAGGTGTGTGACTCTTGAGAAGCAATATCTAGTCTCCACATTCTTTTTTCTGGGGGGGGGGGGGGGAGTGAGACAGGGTTTCTCTGTCCTGGAACTAGGTCCATAGACTAGCCTCAAACTCAGAGAGATCCGCATGCTTTTTTCTCCCAAGTGCTGGGATTAAAGGCGTGTGCCACCACTGCCCAGCATAGTCTCCACATTCTTGCACAAGCATGTACATACATCTGCACATACATATGTATATGAACATACATAAAAAAGAGGCAAATCTGGGACTGGAGAGAAGTCTCAGTGGTTAACATTTGCTGCTCTTCCAGTGAACCCAAGATCAGTTTACAGCACCCAAGAAAGGCAACTCACAACTTGTCTATAACTTCAATTCCAAGGGGATCCCATGCCTCTGACCTCTGCAGGCACTTGCACTAATACGTACGTACCCACATGTGGATGTACATACCTACACCTTATTAAAATCATTTAAAAAAATCTTAAAAACAGGTAAGTCTATATACACAGGCTAGGTAAAGTTGTTTGGGGTGAGCAAAAGGGGAGTGATAACAAATATACTTGTTTAGGAGATGAACTACTCTAAAATTCAGTAATATTGGCTGCATTTCTGAATATACAACACATAAATGTTCATTTTATAAAAACTGAGGCATACAGTGTGGGGTTTATAGCTCTGCTTGCTCTTTTATCTATATGTATAGCATATCTTCATAATTAATCTCAAGTGGTAGGAACTAATTAAGAGTATGGGAGAGAAGTTTCCCAAACAGTTAGCATTGCAAGGATTTCAGGGATTGCTTGGTCATCTTTTTTTCTTCATTTTAGTCCTAAGTGAAGGAAGAGGAGGAGGGGGAGGAGGAGAAAAATTAGGGTGGGATGGTGAGGGTGACAGGAGAAGAAATATCATCATATCTGCCCTGTACAGTTAGGGTCAGACCTCTCTGACTTGCTGCCCCCCAATTCCTGAGATTCTGAGTGGTGTCTTTGTTCTGTGGACTGACCATTCCAGAATAAATCTATTTTTTCTGAGTCTACAAAGCTGAGAAATGGCAATGCCAGAGGTCAGCAGATAGACACAGGAAGCCACTTTGTCTTCAAGCCTGTAGAATATTAGGAGCTTTGTCCTATGGGACTCTTGCTGTTTGGGAACTTTGTTCCTGATGGGCAAAGATAGATCAAGGCCAGGAAGAAGTGGTATAGTGTTTGCAAAAGTCTTCATGCTAGGGACAGACATCTCCCAATCTAGAGCTCTGGTTGCTCTTCAGCAAGTTAGGATAGAACAGTCTTTTCACCACAGGTTGTGCACAGCTAGTGGGCATGGACCTCTGCAAGCACTTCAAGTGTGTGCCTGAGGAGCTGTCCTGGAATGGTCCTGGAACTTGGGGTGGGCCCCCAGATCAGAGCTTGAAAAGGAGAAGAGGATTGCCTGTGTGGGGAAGTGGTGGTCAGGATGGAAAGTGGAAAAGGGGATGACTGGGAAGCTGCACTCTGCCAGATGCAGCCAGCAGCCTACCTCTGCTCTTGTGGCTGACATGGCAAGCATACTAGATTGGCTTCTAGATAGATGGTAGAGATAAGCTAGTACTGTAGGGAGAAGCTAGAAATGCTACAAGAGGAAAGTCCTGCATGAACTTCCTTCAAATGGACAGTCCCATGTGTTGCCCTCTTGTAGAAGTTCACATCCTCATGAAGGCCCTCAGAAATAAGCAGGCATTATTGGGCATTGTTCTTGTTCAGCATAAGATCTGAAAGAGGATTTATGTTTTCACAAATGTGTCATCATCTAAACCCAACCCCCTGCCTCCCAGTGCTTACTTGAGCATTGAGACTCCTTAAGCATCTCGGTTAAAGAAGGAAAATGCTCCCCACAGTCCCTAACGTTAGGTTATGCATTTTTCACACTGTAACATCTCCACAGTTGTGTTACATCTTCCAGCCAATGGCATCTTTATAACAGTGCATTTTCCAATTGTTGATGTTCTAGACTTGGTAGAATGTGGTCTGTGCTATCAGATACTGAATTGTGGGGTTGCATTGTCCTTCATGCTCTGTCTCTGGTCTAGGCTGTACACGTTGAGTAATCGGATACCCAGCCCAGGTTTGTGACCAGAAGCTTCCATGTCCCTTGTTTCTGGAAAGGGCCAATGGCATCCTTTCATTTTTGCAGACTTTTGTCAGTAGACCACAGGCAGATCTTCTGTCCTCAGGTTGCTAACTAACAAAAGTATGGTGAGATTTTCCTCCTTGCTTTGTCCCTTTTGTTCATCTAGGTACTCAGTTTCTGTGGCCCTCTCTGGAACCTCTCTGGGCCCATCCTTGTCAGCAGACCTTTCCCAGTGTAACTCACCCACATTGCTGTTCCTGGGAAGATGAGGGAAGGGAACAATGCTTTATTCTAACATGGAAGAAGGACAAGAAACTTTCTTATCCTTCTGAGACAGAAACTGCTGGCTCAATGACCTGTGAGAGCTATTTCTGCATGTACACTCCATCTTTTCTCAAGGCTTCTCTGTAGGTAAGAACTGACCCTAGACACTTCTCTTCTTAGACTACAGAGTCTTTACAGCTGAAGGTCCCTCTCCTCTGAGATGGACAGTACCACCTAGCAGTATGCTTGCCCAGGCAACATGAACCAGGTCAAAAGTAACCGAGAACTGTTCCTACAATACTCAGCCACAGCCCCCAAACTGCTGGCCCACGTCTCCAAACTTCTCATTTTCTGCCGAAACTCAGGCATTACCATCCCAAAAGGCATCAGGAATATCTTTGAGTTCACCTGGGAGGAACTCATCTGTGACCCTGCAGTGCCCACCCCATCTGAGATCCAGGATCTGGTGATCAGCTTTGGAACTCCTACAGTGGTGCTTGCAGAGGTGATCCCAGTGCAGGTCCCCTTGCAGAAGAAGCCACCCCCACCACCCCCACCACCACCAGTACCGCTGACAACCCCCAGTGGGGGCAAGCACTCGACCACCACTCCTGCCTCTACTCGATTGGTGCCCACTGGTCAAGATACCCTGCACAAGTTCCAGCGGCAATCCATCCACCTGCTGACAGAGCTGCTTTCCCTGAAGATGAAGGCCATGGTGGAGTCTGCCTCTGGTAAGGCTGCTCACAGATTCCCTTCCCCTCCGTTTCTGAACAGGTGTGTGTGTATGTGTGTGTGTGTGTGTGTGTGTGTGTGTGTGTGTGTGTGCACGCGCTGTGTGTGTGCACATGCATAACATCTACCCCAACAGGTATAAGTTGAGCATCCACAATCTAGAATCTAAAATACTCTGCAGTCTGAGGATGTTGATTGCTCACATAATGCCACAGAACATTCCACAGCTGACAGTGCACGGTGATTCGAATTCCATGTCTGAGTCCCATCCCCAGATATCTCCATATGTAAAGGAAGACATTCCCAAATCCCAGTCTCCCTCAAAGTCCCTCACTGTTTTAGCTCAAGCCCTGTGTTAAGGGATACTTAACCTATATAAGTATGCACTGGAAATGGGAGTGGTGGCCTTGGGTCTGCTGCAAGAACTATGCTTCCCTCTTCCCTGCCCAATACTCTCCTTTTGCCTTCTTTGCTTTCCCACTTTCCTCCCAGTCACCCATCTCGAGTGCCCATTCAAAAGTTAGCAGTGTTGGCAGTGAGACATTAGAGACACTGCAGGGAGCATTTGGGATGATGATACAGAGGTGGAAAGAGCTGCATTGGAGAGAAGAGACATAGAATTTATGAATCAAGAGCCTGGTCCACCCAATGCCAAGAAAATTCTGAGCCCAGTGCCTCCAAACTGAAGGCATCATTCCAGGGATGGGGAAGAACCCAAGACAGTGTCAGCAGAAGTCTCTTGGAGGCCTCAGTACTCAGCTGTGGGCAGGTAGGTCGGCAGGCAGGGAGACTGGGAGTAAAGTACTGCCTGCTGATCTTGAGCTCTCTGCTCAATCGAGTGTACATGTCAGGAGCTCCTCACCTTTACATCAGGAATGAGTTCATCTTTTCCTGGGCCTTCCTAGTCTTCCACTATTTCCTGGATCATTTGCAAAGGTTTTTTTTTTTTTTTTCTGGAAGAGACATCCTTGCCAGGAAGAAAGCACTTTGTCTTTGTTCATTCCTTCAGCAGGCGCTAATCCTCTGGACATCACCAAGCGCTTTGTGGAGGCCAGCCAGCTTCTCCATCTCAATGCCAAGGAGATGTCCTTTGACTGCCTGATTGGCACTGTCGGAAAAAGCTGCTTTAGTTCAGCACAGCTGGGGAAAGGTGGGTACCCTCCTGTAGGGAAAATATGCAAACAGAGCCAACAAGAAGGTACTAGGAAGGTAAAAGCTACAGTTGAAAGGCCAAAGCTCCCAAGAGCTGAGGTGGCTGTGGAGTAGCAGGAGCCCTAGACCCTAGCTGCTAGCAGGGACGACTCACACACCTCTGGTGGAGGACAGCCTAGTTTTTTGTTGGTAGAAATGTCTATACCTCCCAACTCACCATGTAACTCCTCTTTCTAGTTCTAGAGTATGCTTCTCAAGAGTAAGCTTCTAAAATTTCCAGTCTGTTGCACACCAGCCCTTTAGTACACGTGGTAAAGATGTCATAGCAATGAAATCACTACTCAGATTGCTGTCAGTCCTGACGCTTTATGTCTGAGCTCACCTGTTCATGGCATATGGGCATCAGCTCCCATCTGCTGGCCACAACTCAGCCCTTACATACAAGCAGTTCTACAGGAATGTTTATCACAGAACCATTTGGAAAGGCAGAAAGATTAGAAACAGCTTTCTATCAATGGCGATGAATTACGGTTCATGCAGATACTGTTTCATAGTGAGCATCAAAAAAGAACAAATCAAGCTGGGCACATAACGCATACCTCCCGTCCTGAGGCAAGAGAATTAGGAGTTCAAAATTGTTCTCAGTTACCTAATGAGTTCTAGGCCATTCTGGGCTACATGAGACTCTGTACCCCAACCCTAAAGCATTAGCAACTCAGCAGTGTAGGTAATTCTTAAAAAATATCATCTGGCAAAAGAAAGTATGAAAGGATGTGTTTGTGGTGATTTATTTAATAGTTTAATATAAGCAAAGAGATGTTGTTTATGAATATCACAAAATACGGCTGAACAGAATAGGAGGAGAAACATTAGAGGAGGTGATCTTTGGAGATATGGAAGTAGGGGAGCAAGATCTGCAATATCACAATTCACTCGGGTCAGCAGTTCAATGTTTGTAATCTGTTTTCATTTCACATATTTACCTGTGTGCGTGAAGAGACCAGCTAAGCTCTACCGACCTTCTTAGCAAATATCAAGTGCACTAAACTGTAAAAGTAACAACACTGCCATGCTGCTCATTTGATCCCAGGACTTAGGAAAGTTTGTACCTAATACCAACATCACCCTGAATATGCACAGCAACCACCATTGTTCTTTCTACATCTGTGAGTTTGAATGTTTTAGAGTTCACACATGAGTGAGCTCTTGCAGGATTTATCTTTTGTGCCTGGTTTATTTCACTTAGCATAATGCCCTCTAAACTTCTCTATCTTGGTGTAAATGGTAGGATTCCACTACCTTTTAAGACCAAATACTATCCTACTCTCTTTATGTATCACATTTTCTTTATTTGTTCACCCACTGATGGATACTCAAGCTCATCCCATTTGCCTGTTGGAAATTATGCTGCAGTGAACACGGGTATACAAGTATCTCTTTTATGATCCTGACTTCATTTCCTTTAAATTACCTGCAAGTGGGGTTGCCATACAGTAGTTATATTTATAAGTTTTATTATTTTTTGTTTTGTTTGATACAGAGTCTTGCTCATAATTTTCCTGCCTTCGATTGCCAAGTGCTGTGATCACAGTTGTGTGCCACCCTGCACAGCAGTTTTAATTGTTCAGAGAATCTTTATTATGGTTATATTCAGTTACAATGCTACCACAATTACAAAACTCTTTCTTTCATGCCCTCATTAGCATTATTATTGTTTTTATTTTTCTTTATTATTATTATTTTGTTGTTTTTGTGACAGGATTTTTCTGTGTAGCCTTGGCTTGTCCTGGAACTTTCTCGACAGACCAGGTTGGCCTCAAACTCCCAAAGACCATCCTGCCTCTGCCTCCTGAGTCTGAGATTAAAGGCAGGTGCCACCACCACTTAGCTATTGTTTTTTTTTATTTTTGATAAAAGTCACAAAATGATATTTTATTGTGACTTTGATTTATGGTCTTCTGATGATTAATAACTTAAAATATCTTTTTATATATTGTTGGCCATTTGTATGTCTTTAGCAAATATCCATTCTGATTTTTTTCCATCAACATCCCCCTATGATGTTTTATATCTTTAGTTTGGTTTGGTACACTAGTGTTCATTTGAATGCTTAGTAGTACTGTCATTAGACCTCAGAACAAATCTTATACCTGTGCTCTGTCGCCTGAGGAGTCAGCCACCATTTCACTACTCCCTGCCGCCAAGGCAGTGACTTTGTCAAGCTCCCCTGATGATTGGAGGTTAAATACCTGATAATGATAGACATATCCAGAGTAAATCAGTTAAGTAGTAAAATTCCAGATCTAGGAAAAAGAATAGGATTTCATGGAAGTTAGTGAAAGTAATATTGGGAGTCCATGAAAACTGCTGGTGCATGCTATGGTGGGACTAAGAGGTGATGAAGAAGTTCCAGGACAGCCAGGCCTACTCAGAGATCTCACAGCAGGAAAAGATGCCAGAACAATGGAAAAGCCCCTCCCATCATTGAAGTCACTTATAAATCTCTCACTGGTTGACACTTGGTGCAGATATTTATCTCTCTCGCTTTAAAATTTTTATTGATTGCTATTGTATATGTGTGCATGATGTGTACATGTGAGGTAAGAGCACAGCTCTATGTAGAATTTGTTCCCTCCTTTCATCGTTAGACAGGTTCTGGGGATTGAACTCAGCTCATCAGGCTTTCAAGCTATCTCCCTAGACTGAGATAGTCTTCTATTTTAAAAGGCTCTGAGGATCTTTTTCCGGGCCGGGGGACGGGTAGGTGGTCAAAATAGTCAAATACAGTGGAAGGAATGGTCCATTTATTTCTTCTGGGAAGGCTTTCATTTGACTCAAGATTTTAATTAACTAATTTCCTGGTGCATTAAGTTCAAAGTTTGATATTTTGTTTCAAAATTTGTGTTTTTATGGGATGCCTTCTAGTAAGTTTGCCTGGCATATATCCTTAAACATACCCTTTGCTAAGGAGATGTTTTCCTGTTGGAAGACTGCTTTCTGCTTGTCTTCCTGTCACGATACCTGCCCTGTTGACTTGTCAGAGACTAACTCATGGCTGCTCCTTTATTCTCCTTTGACAGTGGCATTACTGAGTAAAAAATTCCAAAAAGAAAACACTCTTGTTATCTTGGTTCATGCATATACGTTTTGATAGTATTGCCATTGTCTCTCAGTTTCTGTTACATGTCAACTGAAGATGTTTGCTAGGTGGCTATATGGTTTGCAACATGTGCCATGTGAGTGGGGCTAGACTCCAACACTCAAGTTCCATATTTATCTAAGAACTTAGCTTCACACGCTTTTTGCTTCTACTTCTATATGCCAACTGTATTTTTCATTCTGTTGCATTGGTTAAGACTAATTTCCTAGGTGAGAGATTACTGGGGCAGAGGATTACAGTCTGTGCATAGCTTTCCACATGCTTTTCTCTATATGGACAGACTGACCATTAGCTCTTACTCATTTTTCTCATTTGTGCTGGAGTAGAAGGTGCTGAAAGCTGTTTTCATTTTAATAGCTGAAGCATTAGCAAAAGTGATTGTTCTTCTGTTTTGCTCCTCCAGGGTGGAGACTCTGTCTTTGTTTACTTAATGAGGTTGACTTTACCATTTTCTTTATGAATTTGAGTGTGTTGAATGAATTTCTGAGTGTTTTCCAACATTGGTTTTATGCCCAACCAGTAACATAACTGTATATGGGGAAAGAACCAGTGAATGAGGCTGTAGGTTTTCTTAGATGACTGTAACTAGGAGTGCAGATATTCTATAGAGACCATTTGCGCTCTTCCCTTTGGCTGTCAGACTACTGGCACATGAACCCCAAAGAAATTGAATTTCCCCAAGAGCCTCATGCTTGGGAAGGAAAAAGACTTGAGTCTTGTTGCCAATCAGTGGGAAAACTTGTCTCCAAGAAAGAGATTTCACACAGAACAGACAACTTGTAGGACATAGCTCAGAAGCAGGGTTTGTCAGTGTTGGACAAGCCTGCACCTGGGGAAGGACTACTTGGTGATACATAATTCTTGTCCTCTATTATAATACAAACCTAAGACTCAGGTATCAGGTGGTGGCACAGAAGACAGTGTGATGCTGTGGGACTGAGAGGCTGTTGGAAGAACATCTGATTCCCATGCATTAGATAACGGGAGCGCCCACTCTCATCCCTTCCTCCCTACTGCCTAGATTTGTCCACACCTAGTGCCAAACTGACACGTGCAGTTGCCCTTTGAAAATTTTCCCCTGTGCTTTCTTTCTGCTCCTCATGTAAGTGTGAGACACTCTTCACCCTGAAGAGGCTGGGGCAGGGAGATCTGTAAAGGGAGCCTTAAGATGTTGCTTACTTATTGTGTTCTTGTGTTTATGTCTAGAAGTCTCTCGTCAGAAGACTTCCTGGTTGGTTTAGGTAACTTTGCAATATCTGGCCCACCATCTTGTTTGAACAAGAAAACTATATTACATTTTTGTAATTTAGGTAAAATTGTAAGAGATTGTAAAGAAGATTCATTCTTCTTCTCTAGACTCCCCCATGAACATCTCTGCCATGGGAGTGAACACTCCCTATCAGCTGGTCTACCAGAATTCCACAGCCTGTCTGAGCTTCTCCCTCTCCACAGGAAAGGAAGGCAAGAAGAAAGGTGAGAAAGAAAATAGTGTTTTCAGCCAGATACACACACTTCTCTGTGCCTGTTTCTCTGGTGGGGAGAGTCCACACCCTCTATCCTTGATGATGGTGCATTGGGAGGAGAAATGAATGGCTGGATCAGCATCTAACCTGTGCAGTTGGTAGCATGGTTAGATCTCATGTCTGCTAGAAGGATGCTCAGCTCACCGAGATTCAGCAGCCTGTGACACAAATCCTTATAAGCACTCCAGAGCTGCAGCACATCCAGTCACTACAATCAGAATTGCATTCCATTCCAGTGTGTGTCCCTCATGCAATTAAGTCCTTCAACCCAGGTAGTATCCATATCTGATGCCTGTGAATAAGACAGCTCTGTTCAGCCACACAGCCAGTGGAGAAATAGTGATCTTTGTGTCCTAAACTTAGCAGGCTCAAGTTCTGTGTTCTAGAGGGGCTACAATGCATGAGCAGAAATCAAAACCACAGAAGACTCCCTTGCCCTGTTGAGAAAGGCCCACTTAGAAGGGAAGGGAACTTTAGGGGAAAACAACAGGTGAGAGAAAGCAGCTCCAAGGGGAAGGGCCTGCTGAGAGTGAGAGAGACCTTAGGACCTTCCATCCACCCTGCCAACTATGACGACAACATAAACGAGACAGACAGGTAGGGGAGGAGTGGATAGTAAAGGAGGGCAGGGTTGGTTCACATTGCCCCTTTGATTCCCACAGACACTGGAGGTAAGGCTGGAAGTTGAGAAGCTTGAAGCCAAGTCTTCACCCATCCTTGCTGCCTGTGTGACTTGTCTTCTCATGCTTCACCCTCCTTGGTAAAAGGGAACTGTTTACAGGGGCCTATGGAAGCATCAGCCACACTTCATTGCTGTTGTTACTGTTCATTGCTGTGTTCCTCAGTCTCTGATGTACCTTTAATTATTGGCTGGCAAAGTTCAGCCAATGATCCCCATTGCTGCAGAGTATAAGAGCCTCCTAACATGTTCTGCAGCTCTCCCCCAAGAGAATGTGATGCTCAAGAACTCCCCTCTGAAGCCCACCATATTTCTACTCCTTACCTCTAACTACAGGCAAAAAGGCTACAGATGAGCTCACGCCCCCACTCCCACTCCCACGAGTCCGAACCCCTCCTGAAAGCACTGTCGTTGAGTTCCAGGACCCCTGCCCTGAGGCCCGGGAAAAGCTGCAGGATATGTGTCGTCACATGTGAGTGCCTAGATGTAGGGATGGTATCCATAGGAAGTGGGACACAAGGATAGATGGGTGTCACAGCAGTAAGTGCACCCCCCATGCCAGTCCTACACACACACACACACACACACACACACACACACACACACACACGAGCCTATGGTCCTTCCAATTTATAGATAATAAGAGAAGTAAAGCAATTCCTGAGCTTGCCTAGCTCTGTCAGCCCAATTCCTGTTCAATGCTCTTTGCCTCCGTAACATCCTCCCTCACCCAAGGAAGTCCTTTGTGTGGCTCCTGGCAATTCATAGACTTTATGCCCCAAGTGCTAATTTTTTGGCATGATTTTCCAAGTGTTCAAAAAATCTCCCCCAAAAACATATCATCCACATAGGTGATTCCTAGTATATTATTTGGGGATACTGTGAGGCCTCACAGAAACCCATTTTTCTAAGGGCCCAGCTCATAAAAACTAAAATCCCTTTCATACCTAAGTTATATATGTCTCCTGGGATCATAGGCCCAGGGTACAGGTAGGCAACAGCCACCCAGTTCACCTCTACACTATGACATTCTAGATGGATCCCACCTGGAACTTGAGGAGGGGGGGGGTGAGGGAATAGTCTGTCTCCAGCTGCTCCCGAGTTTGCTCCATAGAGCTCCACTCCATAGGTCCAGACAGTCAGACACAGCTGGTCTTTCCAGGGCATATTGACACCTTCCCACTTCCTCCTAAAAGTACCAGCTTTGCTCATGGGGAAGACTTGGAAGAAGATGTGCTTTAGGACAAGGGGACTGGGCTGAGAAGGGACTATAGAGAACCTCTCTGGAGAGAGAGAACCGAGTGCCTAGAAGATGCGTTCATCTCCTTCCCACAGAGAAGCCGAAAGGATCTTGTGGAAAGGGAGGAATGTCTCCTGTCCCATGATTTTACGCAACTACAGGGCAAAGATACCCTCTCATTTAATGTTGACCTCCAAGGGGGACCCTCACCAACCTCCCACTGCGGGGACTCAGGTTACTGCTTCCACTCTTAACCAGCCTTCCAGCCACCATGCTCATATGGGTCGCCATTCTCAAGAGTGGAAGGGGCCCAAGAAGCCAATCAAGCTGCATTACACTTTCTATGATGGCTCTTCCTTCATTTAATATCCTTTTGATGGGTGTTGCTCTTTCTCCTCAACTCAGTCCCAGAGAACTCCAGGGCTTGAAACAGCTAACTAGTCAGTGGGGATTCTTGGTCAACTAGAGAAGCCTGGTGAGGATGCTCCAGGGGTAAGTGGTGGTTCAGGTCAAGCTCTGGAGGGAGTGAGGAAGGAATTTAAAGTTAAGTACAAGTCCAGTAGAGTTCACATAGCAGGAGTATATCAAGTTCCTTATACCTGTGAGAAGCTTGGCTGTGTAGACGGATCCTTGCCTTCAAGGCATCTGCCAGGAGAGAGAAAGCTATAGACAGGGCAGTTCATTTCCAGCTGAGAGAAAAAGTAAGATGTCCCTAAATGCTGTGGTGGGGGTTGTTTCTTGGTTCCTTATTCACTAGTTTTACCCAGTGGTCCTTGCACATTACCTCTAAGGTTCCAATGCTTAGAGTCTAAGCACTCATCCCACTTGCTGCACATCTGTTTGACCGCAGCTGAGGTCTGCCTTGGTGTGGCTGAATGTGAATGTTGGGTGCAAAAGTGGCAGAAGAGGACACATTTCCCCCTGTGAATCTGATGGGCAGCATAGACCCTCTTTCTAGAAATATGCATATGTGTGTATATCCACACACACATGCAAATTGTGAGCTGCAGCTGCAGGGAACTAACTTACAGCCCACAGAAAACAGACTTTTTGCCTGGGCCTGAACTCCAGTCCAGAAAGCTCAGATGTTGAAAAGGCAGATGATCCCTTCAGAGGGTGAGCCCTAGGTTTGTACCATGCCTTGGAGTGGGTTGAGTTGGCTGCTTTTTCTACTCACAGATATGTAACAAGTAGCTATTATGTATAGTGGGTCAATAGAATGAATTGGATAGACCTGGTTCATGAGAACCTCAGAAAGGAGCAACTTTAGTCTGATTGTTGTCTTTTAAAATTAGGAAAGGAATTTGAATTTGGTTATAAAGGTAAAAAAAGAGAGATCCTTTTGGAAAACATGGAGTTGAAAAGCCCCCTTTACCGTCCCTTTCAGGCGTCTCTCACCCCATTTCCCCTCCAGCATCTTCAAGAGCTACACCAGATCCAGATGTCCAGCCTTAGGGCAATGTGAACTCTGAGGCCTTTGGAGGCAAAGCACTTATTCCAGGTTCTGAGTTACACTAATTTCAAGTATGGGAGACATGACACAGAGTCATCTAATTTTGCTCCTTTGTTGTAGAAACAGGGAAACTGAGCCCCAAAGAGGCAATGTGACCTCTTTGTCACAAAAGGTCCAGAGAATGTTTGCCTTGGATCTTTGTTCCTACCTGTCTCAGAATTATGAGATGCTTTATATGGAACCACCTCAGACCTCTTCTTCATTGCTGCAGGGACACTCGACTTCTATTTCCTCAGTGATGACATCTTGACAATTAGTCTGTTTTCACCTTGGGAGTTACAGAGACCAGGTTCAGTTCTTTTCTGCATTCATTTAGTGTGACAAAATGCCACAGCAGGTATTTGGGGAAGGAAGAGTTTATTTGGGCTCTCAGTTCGAAGGTATAGGCTTTCATGTTAGGCATGAGGGCAGGTGTGCAAAGTGGTTGATGACATGAGTCACAGCCAGGAAACAGAGATGAATGCCAGTCTGGGACCCTGGCCTATGGAATGGTGCTGCACACATTTAGGTCTTCCTACCTCAGTTAAAACCCTCTCGGAGGAAATACCCTCACAGACACTTGTCTCCTACATAATCCTAAATATAATGAAGTTGACAGTCCACATTAGCCTTCACGGTGACCCTGCACACATTACTCAATCTGTGTGCCTCACTTCTCTTGGTTACATGATGAGTGAGCTGGATCCAGTAATCTTAAAGAAATTCTGTGTCTCTGTGTTCAAAGGCTAAGGTACACCAGCCAGCTGTTGGGTCCCTCCCAAGAGAAACAGGTTTGGAAAGCTTTTCTTCACCTCTTGGCTTCTTCAGAACGATGGCTTTAGCCACCAACTCTGTTTTTACATAAAGAGCTCAGATAAAAATGATAGGTCTTTGTTCATGGTCACCAGATTGGCCAGTTGCAAGCCATAGCTGATTTGAACCTGCTGGTCCAGCTGTCAGAACCAGTTCTGTGTTCGTTTCACCATTCTTCACAGAAATCAGCTGGGATCCCCTGGTTTGGACTTGTGCTTTCCTGATTATAGTGATGCTGAACAGCTTTACATTTGCTTCTGTTTGGAGAAGTATGTGTTCTAGCATTTTGCTCATGCCTTGGTTGTGTTCTGGTGTGGCAGTTGCTAGAACTTGAAACTAAGGCCTCAAATGTGCCAAACATGCTTTACCACTGAGCTCTGCCTCTAACCCCAAAGGTTGTTAAAGTTAATGAAGTCCAAATTTCCACATTTTATTGATCATACTTTTGGTTTCAACGTCCATGACATCACTGCCAAGTCCAAGGTCATGACGATTTAGCCTGTGTTTTTTTATATCGGCTTTATAGGTGAAGCTCTTAATATAAATCTTTGAGGTATTCAGAGCCAATATTTACATCTTATATGAGTTAAGGGCCTTGTTTCATTCCTCTGCACATGGGTATCCCATTGTCCTACTGCCATTTGTCAAAGAGACCATTCTTTCCACTTGGAATGGTCATGGAGAGCTTGACAAAAATAAGTTGACTATAGATGAACGTGTCTATTTTTAGACTCATTTTTAATCCACTCTTATAATTTTGGTGTCTATCCTTATGCCAGATCACATTGGTTCAATTATTAAAGATTTGTGGTAAATTTTTAAAACAACACATGCTGTGAATCTTCCCAGTTTGTTTTTTTGTTTTTGTTTTAGTTATTTGAAATTTCTTTCTTCTTTCTTTTTTTGAAACAAGGTCTCTCTGTGTAGCCCTGGCTGGGCTGGAACTCAAGAGACTTTTGCCTGCTTCTGCTTCCCAAATGCTAGGATTAAAGATATGTGCAACCATGCCCAGCTTCATTCAGTATATTTTGCTTCTGTAGATTTCCTCTCTGTCTCCTCTCTTTCCTGACTTTCTAATGATCTTTCCTGGGGCTCTGAGGTTCTATTCTTTCTTGGATTAAAAAAAATATAATATCTCACCTTGTAGTTCAGGCTGACCTGAAACTGTGTCGCTCAGGCTGGCTTGGAACTCACAATCATCTCCTGCCTCAGTGTCCCAAGTTCAGAAAGTCCGGGCATGAGTTCTCATACAATTCCTTCTGTTCCTTTATAATGCACAGTCTGTATAATTTCAACTCATTGACTTTCCAGAACAATTATTTTTTTCTTTTATTGTTTTAACTTGCTGCTTCATTTGTTTAGTGTAATTTTTGTTTCAATCATTGGACTACCTATCTAGGTCCAGAATTTCTGGTCTGTGCCATCTTGTGGGTCACTCTGTGTGACACTCTGTGTCTTTTCCTCCTGCTTATCACCCTCCCTCTTTCCACTTCTGTTTTTATTTGGCTAGTGGGAAAGATTTAGGAGGACAGATTGTGGTACCAGTCACTACAGCCCTACCTGGAGCACTGCTTCTGCAATTCTGTATAGAGAAGGAGCTGCCGACCCAGCTCTTCTGAGGACCAGTGCTTCTTGGGACCTCTCAAGCTAAGGAAGGAGCAGAGAGAACGTACTTTCCCACAAGATTGGCCCAGAGAGGAGGCAGCCTGACAGTACTAGAAATACTGCTGCTTCTGGAGATCATCTCCTGGCCCTGTCACTCACTGGTGGTGTAAGATGAGACAAAGCATGGGGTGACCTCCTCACCCTATACCTAAGACCTTCATGTGTTAGTACTAAAAGTCTATGTAGTACCATTTAGACCCATGAAAATCCTGACATGTGAAATGGAGAAAAGAGCACTTCCCATAAGATAGTAGAAAGGAAGGACCTGGAGCATGGCTGGGTTCCATAATTATCTGTGACACATGCAAAGCACAGGCAGAATCTTTGAAGGAAGGGAGCAATGCACAACAGAAGAATTCTTTTGTAAGGCTTGTTTCTGCTGGGACCCTGATAGCCAGCACCTGGAGAGTTGTGTTTGACTTGACTGTGTCTGCCAGCTATCCCTCTGGAAACATTGCCATGCTTCAGATTCCCACGTGCTGCAGAGGGAAACCCATCACCTGCCTCTTTAATGACACGCCTAACACCTTCCTGGCTCTGTTCAATGCTGATGGCCAAGGCTGTGTTTACTACAACCTAAAGAACTGGTGAGTAGGTCAAGGGACGTCTAGCCTCATGAAGTATCCCTTGAGATAATTGGTACTGTGTATAATTAGTGACTAAAAGTTCCTAGTTTAAGGATTCTAGGGAGGTGCTGAGGGCAGGGTGAAGCAGTACCTGTAGGAACCTGTGGTTCTTTGAGGCCCAGCTGCTAGGTACATGTTGTACTTCACAAAGTGAGAAGGAACCTACTCTAAGTCCCCCCACTGGTACACTAGAACATCAAGATCTCCCTCCATTCTTGGTCCGATAAACAGGGTGGTTTGTTTGTTTGTTCATTAATTTTTGTTTTTTGAGTCAGGGTTTCTCTGTGTAGCTCTGGCTACACCAGAGTTTACTCTGTGGACCAGGCCAGCCTCAAACTCTCAGAGATCCACCTGCCTTTACCTCCCAAGTGCTGGATTAAAGGTGTACACCACCACCTGACTGATACACAGGGTTTTTGTTGCCATTGTTTTCCAGTGCCAAGGACCAGAACCTCATAAATGCTAGGCAAGTACTCTGCCATTGAGCCACACCCCCAGTTTTCACCCCTGGGAGAATTTTTTAGTGGGAAAAGTATCTTACACTAGGAGTGGGTAAACAAATGTGTGAATACAACTTGTGTGGTGTATTTATTACCCATTACTGTGGTGAAGTACCTGACATTAATAACTTTAAGGAGAGATTTATTTTGGTTTGCAGTTTCAGAGGTGTTAGTTTGTTATAGCACAATGGATTAGAGCAGTTCACTTCATGGTGACCTAGGAAATAGAGAAAGGAGATTACAAGGGATCAGAGCAAAATACATCCCTCCCCAAGATACAATTTAGTGACTAACTTCCTCCTTCTCTTGTCTTTCCCTACCTCCTAATGATGCCAGCATATTATGAACGCATCAAAGGATTAATCTACTGATCAGGACAGAACACGTAGGATCTGTCCATCTCTGAAAACACAGATAAACCCAGAGGCACGCTCCACTAATCTAGGTATATCCAAGCTACTCAAGTTGACAGTTCAGATTAAGAGCAGCACACTCTCCTGATAGCTAAGAGTTGATCTTTGCATAGCTTTCCATAAGTTGTTTTTGGAAGGTGTTATTTTCATGTTTGGATGTTGTAGCTCACATTTTGGTGCTGGATATTTTTGTGCCAGGCTGCAGAACTACAGAAAAAAAATCATTTTTTATTCTTTGGATTTTGCTTGAGCCTACATTCTCTACCTCAGCCTGTCCCTTCTCCAAAGATGCCCCACTAGTGTCAGGTGGTGTAAGGAGTCCTAGACTACGGTGGCTGGAAAGGTGAAGCTGCTCATAGGAGTCTTCAGACTCTTTCCTTCCCTTTCTCAGGTTGTTTATGTCAGGTAAACATTCCTTCAGACTAGGGCAGGCTTTCCCAGCCCTGCCTGTTTGTAGCCTGCAGTAAGGAGGGAATTCTTTCAGGGCCTCTAAGTAGTTTTTATCTTCTGTGTATCTCCCAGCTGTCCATATGTCTTGGTTTTGGATGAGGAAGGTGGAATCACAAATGACCAAAAGGGCTGCATAGTCCATAAGTGGAGCTGGGCTAACAAGACTGAGACATTACTCTCTCTGGAATACAAGGTATGTGGGCATCATGGGTAGGGGGTGGCTTCCACAGGCTACTCAGCATCAGAAGGCAAGCACCTGTGAGACTGCACTGCCCCAGCAGCCACATGATCTTCAGAGGTTATGAGTCAGTTAGTAGTGGTTCAGAGTAGGTTCTCTTGCTTTCCTCTAGCCTGTAGAACTGTGGGCTACTTTACTGACACTTCATGGCAACCTCCTTTCTATTTGATTTTTATTTATATTGTTGCATTTTGTTGTGGAATATTCATTTTACGAAGCAACAGTTATAGTAGTTGACAATGTTATTCTTGATAATTTTAATTTTCAGGTTTTTAGAAATTTATTACATTTATTTTGTAGAAAACTGGCTAGTAAAGAACCAGCAATACCTGAAGAGTTGGAGAACTTGAGTTCATTTTATGCTAGCTAGCTTGGGCTGAGCTCATGTTCTGCAAGTACAACTGCCTGCTTATAGTTTCTTACAGCTTTTATAGGCTTATATCAGTTTTGTAATTTATTGCCTACGTGGCTATTTACAGGTAACCTTATGTTTCATGATCATGGAGGGAAAATTTCACTGTGGTTAAGCATGTTTACAGAAGTTTGAACATTATGGGTATCAGCTAAGACATTCTACCTTCAGTAAGTAGGACTTGTCTAATCAGAGAACTAGCTGTGTCCCAAAACCAAATTTGGCATACTTAGTCTAGAAGTGAGGCTTTATTTCATTTGTCTCTAACTCTCTATAACTTTTAGGCCAAAATTGTTATTCAGCTATCAGAGTGCAAGACAGCAATTTGTCTACGTGAGGAACATACTCAATAAACATGTAGCACATATTTCTTTGTGTGTGTGTGTGTGTGTGTGTGTGTGTGTGTGTGTGTGTGCTTGCGCATGCGTGCGTGTGCCGTAAAACACATGCAGAGGTCAGGGGACAACTTTGCAAGGAGTTTGTTCTCTCCTGCCATGTGAGTCCCCTAGTCTGTCTTGGCAGCATGCTCCTTTATATACTGAGCCATCTTGCTGACCTTATAGGGTTTTGTGTGTGTGTGTGTGTGTGTGTGTGTGTGTCCATTGTGTGACTTTCCTGAGATGTGAACAGTGTCTATTCACCCTACATAGGGCATAAAGGCATAACTAAAGAAATGATTGTACCACAGTCTGGCTTATTGGAGTTACTTATGAACATATTCATGAGAATTCCTTACAAAGCCTGCATTATCAGACATCTAACCCTGGCATGCTTGATAACCCACAAAGGATGCAATCCCTGGAGTTTTCTATACAGCTTGTAAGCAGCTAGACAGGTACCAGAGTCTCTCTACACAGCATAGCTGATCCCAGAGTCTCCTCCCCAGAAGGACACTATGTTATGTCTTGTATAACCTAGGCAGGGGCCCCAACAATCTTTTAAATTTCAGCTTTCTTGGATTTGTAAACTTGTTTATTTCCTAAGTGTAGTAGGAGCTGCAGGCCTCTTCCCACAGCCCGGCTCCCACACAGCTAGCTTTACACCAGAAATAACAACACACAAATTATATTCTTTTAAACACTGCTTGGCCCATTAGCTCTAGCCCTTACTGGCTAATTCTGATATCCCGATCAACCCATCTCTAATAAACTGTGTTGCACCGGTCTTACCAGGAAAGATTCAGTATGTCTGACCTGGCGGCTTGCTTCATCGCGTGTGTCTGCCCGGGAGAGGGGAGCATGGCCTCTGAGCTCACTTCCTCTTCCTCCCAGCATTCTGTTCTGTTTACTCCTCCCACCTATGTTTTAACCTAGGGCCAAGCAGTTTCTTTATTATAATTAACCAATGACCTTCCTCCATCACCTAAGTACTAGGAGCCTCCTTCCTCCCTTCAGGACATGTTTCAGTTCAGAGAAAATTGCTGTCCAGTAATGCCTGTCTGTGGCAGTAATACAGATAGGATAGCACCGAACTGATCTTTCTGCTCAGGCTTCTGAGTGCCAGGATTACAGGTGTACACTGTCATGCCCAGCTATTTAGCACTGTGCCTTATATTTTAGTTCCCCCGGAAGGTGCACAGCAAAGGCCTATATGATCAGAAGTTGCTTGGAATAGAAAGTGGCCCATGAATTATAACTTGGAGTGACAGTGTATGATTCAGAGGTGGCGAAGGGAGTACAATTCTCGGTAAAATGAAAGAATGAACATTACTTCTAAAGGCTTTTGTTGGGGGATTGGTATGGCACCTTTTAAGAGTCCATAAGTGCTTCCTATGGAAGAAAGTAGATGACATAGGGTAGGATGACAGGCACCAGATATCGAGCTCTGGACAGTATGCATGCTCTCTTAACTCAAATACTGGCTTTTTCTAACTCCCTTCATTCTGCCCTCCAAATCCAAGCTACTCTCTGGTATTATTTCTCTTCAATCTGAAGAACTTTTTTGGCATTTCTATAAACAGAGATCTTTTGGCAACAAGTTTGCTGTTGTTTTCATGTGAAAAATGTCATTGTTAAGGGATTTTTTTTCCCTAAGACATTGTTTCTCTGTATAGCTTTGGACCCTGTTCTGGAACTCACTCTGTAGCCCAGGCTAGCTTCGAACTCACGGAGATCCACCTGCCTCTGCCTCCTGAGTGCTGGGATTAAAGGCATGCACCACCACCACCTGGCCGTTAAAGGATATTTTTATGGGATATGAGATTCTGGATTGGCTTTCTTTTTTCTTTTAACGTTTTGAAAATAGTGTCACATTGTGCCTTCCTTCCATAGTTTAGGATGAAAGTCTGAATCTTTAGTTACCCAAATTTGTTTGCTTTCTCTGGTTGCTAGGTTTTAAAGGTTTTCTCTTAGTTTCTGGTGTGCTGGTTAGTTTTTGTCGTTTTGATAACAAACCTAGACATATCTAGAAAGAGAGAGATTTTTTTTTTTTTTTGGATTTTTCAAGACAGGGTTTCTCCATAGCTTTTGGTTCCTGTCCTGGAACTAGCTCTTGTGACCAGGCTGGCCTCGAACTCACAGAGATCTGCCTGCCTCTGCCTCCCAAGTGCTGGGATTAAAGGCATGCGCCACCACCGCCCAGCAAGAGAGAGAATTTTAATTGACTCTCATATTAGATTGGCCTATAGGCAAGTCTGTGGCAGGGGCATTTTCTTTATTAATGATTAATGTGGGAAAAATCTAACACACTGTAATCAGTGCTACTTCTGGGCAAAGTGGTTCTAGGTTGTATAAGAAAGCAAGATGAAGGCCTGGAGAGATGGCTCAGTGATTAAAAACTAGTTATTCTCCCATAAGATCAGTTTGATTTTCAGCATTCTTATGGCAGTTAACATTTGTAACTCCCATTCCAGAGGATCCGTCTTCCCTTTTTTGGCCTCCATGAACAATGTATACACATGGTGCACAGATGTACATACAGGAAAAATACCCATACATATAAAATAAAAATAAATGTTTTAAAATAAAGAGAGCCGAACAGTGATGAGGAACAAGCCAGTAAGTAGCATTCCTCCATGACCTCTACTTCAGTTTCTGTCTCTGTTCCTGCCATGCTTGAGTTCCTGTGTTAGCTTCTCTCAGTGATGGACTGCGACTGGGACATGGAAGTCAAACCTTTTCCTCCCAAACTTGCTTTTGGGCAAAGTGGTCTTTATCACAGCAATAGAAAGCAAACTAGGACATTTAAGTTTGATGATTTTTTAAAGTATGATTGTCATGTTTATCCTGTTTTATTTGTTTTTTAATCTTTTAAATTGTAAGTATATGTAAATGCATTTAATCAAATTTGAAAAATCTTCTATCATTTCTAGAAGTATAAACAATACACAATACAACTATGTCCCAGACTGTCTCCTTTTCTTTGGAGGTGCCAATTTATATATATTATACTTTTAAGGTGTGTTTGTGTGCCACATATGTGTAGATGCCCTTGAAGGCCAGGGAAGGATGGTGAATCCCCTAAAAGGCAGTTGTGAGATACCTGGTATGGGTTCTGGAAACTGAACTCTGGCCCTCTGGAAGAGTAGCAAATGCTTTTAATTCCTGACTGCCCCATGGTTCTTTCAAGCTCTTTTTGTTGTGGTTCTAATTTTGTCTCTTTGCTTTTCAGAAGTAATTTCTCTTGATCTGTTTCCAAATTCTCTGGATTCCTTGTCATCTCATTTTTGCTTTTATGATAACCTTATAAAAAGTTTAAATTTTAGTATTCTAGAATTCTCTTTAGTTTTCTCTATATATTATCCTTTTGCAGAGAGCTTTCCTTTTAACAATTCACAAGCATATTTCCCCTTACATCATTGCATATTGTTGCATCAGGTGTCTCAGAGTATAATGTGTAAAGATTTCTGTGTCCTGGTTGTGCCAAACATGGCCAACTTCAGTCATTAACCTGTTGCCATGAGAATGGCTCATTATTTTAGTCCTTCTTTCACCATAGAATTTTGGGTTATAGACTGTCACTGTCACGCTGTGGAATCTCAGAATCCTGGTGTCTTTCTGTGAATGGTATTGGATGTGATTGTTCTAAAAGGCAAAGAACTTGGTCAACTGAAGCAATGAACTTTTCCCCATCAGCAATAGACAGAACCTCAAATCACAGCATTTTAAATTTCTCTGTGAGCTGTCTTGAGACTGTCTTCACATTTAGGGTTTAGGGACTGGCTAGAGATGTGGGTAAGTTTGTACACAGAATTCTAGACTCTCCTCAGACTCAGTCCCTTCCAGAACTCTTTGTATACTTTACTGTGACTTTTATTGCCCATGTTCTGGTCTTTGGATCCTTCACCAGAAAGTGGTAGTTTTAACCATGACTGGCCTCTAAGCTAGAACTTTGAGACAGAAGTTCCTTTCATACTCATCCTTAAGTTTGGCCCCTTAAAATCTGCCTGACTGTGCTCACTCTTCTAAGCCACTAAGTAGTTTTTTGGGTGGGAGGGGTGTTATTTTCATTTTCTTCAACTATTTAGTTACCTGTGGGAGGGTCAACCTTTCAGGCATTGGTTTAGCTCTACTAGAAGTAGGGCTAAGGCTGAGAGCTGGAATGCTCGGTTCAGCCTCAATGTGGACGGTTAATGAGAGTAAAGACCAGAGCTAGAGCACCGACTCAGTGCTTAAGACTGTGTTCTGCTCTTGTATTGGTTTCTAACACCCTCACTGGATGGCTCACAATGACCTGTAACTCCAGCTCCAGGGAATCCGAAGACTCTGTCCCCATGGGCATCTGCATTTGCATACACATAATGAAAAATAATACATTTTTTAGAAAAGGAAAGACCAGCAGATGAATGAGTAGAATGATTAGTGTAGTTACTAGCAAGAACTAGCATGGTTAGAAATGTTGGCAGTGTTTTTTTTAACAGGTCCATTTCATCAGATGAAATTCAGGCATGAACTGCAGAGATAGATGAGGATGAAGACACTGCAAGAGTCCTGGGATTCAGGAATTAATATGAGCATTTTAAAATTAATTTTTAAGTTAGCATGCAGAATAACAGACTTGTTATAATATTTTGCAAATATATATATGTGTGTGTGTGTGTGTGTGTGTGTGTGTATATATATATATATTACTATACCCTTTACGATTTTAGATGATCATTATTTGACTTAGTAGAAAAGCTCTCTGGGTACCTATGACCTTATTCCTGACCTGGAACAAAAACTTGGAGAGAAGTATCAAATGATCTCTTCTGAAGAGGAGCCTTGACTGAGTTTATAGAACATTCATATTGTGAGCTTTAGAAAAGGGCACATCCCCAGGGAGTGGGACAATAGCTGTACTATGTTAAGCTTTGTGCATGTTTTAGCCCACAAACTATATCAGCACCCTAGAGAATGGCTGTATTATTGATTTTCCTAAATTATTCAATTGCTAAGAGGCAAAACTAGAATAGAATCTGGTCCCTCAAGCAAAGCTTGAGTTCCTGAAGACATCTCTATTCTGTTTCTCTAGAAGACCCATAGTGGGTAGTTTCTCTTAAGTGAGAGTAATCAGCAAGTCTGAAGATATGGTTTATTATCTTTCAGATACTGATGGGCCAGATCCAGATGACAGTGTGTGTGAGGCAGAGACTTAGAGATGAGAAAATGAAGCCCTGGCTACCGGGTCAACATCTGAACTAGTGGAAGTAGGAGGAGCAGGGCAGAGAATTCTCTTGATGCAGAACAGTCTGGGGTATCTTGTCGTTAAAGAGATGTTGTAGGTCAGAACACTGAAGACTGGGACGAGCACAGCAATGGAGGGTTACACGCTTTGTGGTCTTGGATGAATAACACTCAGAATTGGCAAACTGTTCACAATTAAACAAGCTACCCTGTTGTACATCCTCTGACACTGTTCTCTTATGAGGGCAGGAGCATTTATGACTTAAAAAGACACTCCTGTCATTAAAAACCTCCTTTGAACAGTACTCCCATGGCTACTTCATGCTAAAGGGTTTGAGATTCAGACAGACTGAACAGCTTGCTAATAGAACAAGACTCACATTAGTTGGTGTTTGAGTAGTCACATCCCAGGGCAGCCTACGGATTCAGACTGACTCACCTGTTTGACACCTATGCTGCTTTCACAGCTATTTCCAACAGTGGGAAGGAAGGAAGGAAGGAAGGAAGGAAGGAAGGAAGGAAGGAAAGAAAGAAGGAAGGAAAGAAGGAAGGGAAGAAGGAAGGGAAGGTAACGGAAAGAAGGCATTGTTTACTTTCTCAGTTAATCCCCCAAAGAACACTGGTATTCTGTCTTCACATGAAAGTTAGAGTCTAGCAAAAGGCCCAGAAAGAGCTTACAAATCTCAGCTCCAAGCCAAGAAGGGTTTGTGCCTTGGACTTGGAAGAAACGAGGATTTATGTGTGCTGGTTTCTTTATCTGCAGGTGAATGAACAAATGAAGCTAACAGTCTTGGGGCCGGACTCCATCACTGTCACCTTCACCTCCATGAATGAGACGGTAACACTCAGTGTGTCGCCCAAAAGCTGTCCCCATGGCATAGTGCATGACAAACGGGTAAGGCAAAGTAGACGAGTAGAGCAAAGTAGGTGGGGAATCTAGCCCTGGCCCAGGGTGTTTCAGCAAAGCTAGCCACATCATAGCTCTGGAACTTTTCCCCAACTACCTCCTACGCAAGACTCTTCCATAGCCTCGTATTTAAGCAACTATGAATGGAAAATTCTCAGAAAAGGTACTGTGTCTGAACTGAGCACACACAAACTGCTTGTGCCTCACTCCCTGAATCACACAGTGGAGCAATAACTGATGCAAGACCTGCACTATGCTAGTCTGCCAGGTAATCTAGAGATGGCTAAAAGACAGGGGATATGAATCCCGCACCATTTATACAAGGGACTTGAGCACCTTCAGGTTGAACTATCTGTGGAGATGCTCACATCTGTGAGGATATACATCCCACAAACAAAGAGAGGTGGTGGCTGTATTTCCCATTATTTATTGGGGGGATAAAATTGAACAGAACCTTTTCAAGTTCAGTCTTTCCATTCATTGGTCTAGCTATGGACCAGGCTAAATCAGCATCATGGAAAAGATAGAGCAGATGAAGAGGATGCCATCCCCAAACCTTGAGGTGTCCAAAAGGCAACCCTTGGCAAGGGAAGTAAAATTGGAATAACCGAGAGCTCCTGTGAATGGGGCAGATCACCGTAATTCCTGTTGATACTTTGCTAAGATTGGCTTATAGGACCAGAAGCAGTTTGCCCACTGCCAGTCCATATTCACACTTGTCCACCTACAGAAATTACAAATAGTATCCCTTTCCCATTCAGTGGTGTCCCACTGGGATGGTAAATTCTAAGGATCTGGCCAAGAGGCTCTTAAGCTAGGGGATATTACCATAGTATGCCATAAGCTGTCGGGCTCTCCAAGATAGCTAACATTGAGTTACACAAAGACATGGGACAGGAATTCGTTGTAGACCCAAAGTATATGAAGAAGACAATGCTCCCCCCAGAAGAAAGAGTTGTGCCTGCTTTACCCATTGCATTTTCATTCTAGCAGCATTTCTCTCTCATTGATAACCCAGCAAGCATTTGCTAATACTGTAGTGTGCCACATGAAGGCACTTTCTAGTGAATAGAACTTTCAGTCTAAGGCACAGAAGAACACAAACCAATTATGAGTCCAACCTGGTTAGTGTCAGTGAAAGGCCTATGGGAGCTGCTGAGACATGAGGAGAGACAGTGTTCATCAAGGCTCTCATAGAAACACCAATGACACTCAGATGCCTGTGAGCTCAAGCTGTATCAACTTCAATAATTATACCTACAGTGGGCTTAGGTGCAGTACAGAGTAGAGTGTGGCTAGCACATGGGAGGCTAGTTCCATCCCCAGCAAAAAGAAAGGAAGGGAAGAAGGAAGCAAACATGGCAGGCAGGTAGACTTGTCGAATAAGCTGAGATGAATGTGCTTGCATGTTGATGCCTCTCTCATGTCCATTTGGTTCCAGGTTCTTGCTCTAATGGTCATTGTTAAATGCATACTATGTCTGATGATCTCTGAGTGTTTCGTGAGAGCCATGATATAAGCAACTCAAAGACCATCCAGAGAACTGAATGAAATGACTCTTAAGTCTGTGTGTGCAAGCACATTCTAAGCCTGGGAAAACTAAGTAATTCAAATGTGATTTTGCCTTACCTTAGTACAATTTAGTGAGTCAGAATTAGATGCCCAAAGCATCTGTTCAATGTGGCAGACTCAAGTAAAAGTCATACAGGGCTGTTGAAACCTTGAAGTGCAATGAGTGCAAACTGATCAGAGATCTCAGTAAAAAAAAAAAATTATTGTGTTTCAAAGACTTAATATAAAATTTTTCAGTAATTTCAAATTTTCATTGTGTGTTAAGTGATCATTTTTATATACTGAGTAAAACAAATATATTGTTAGAATTAATTATAACTTTAGGATGTTTTGAATGTAGTTGCTAAATATTAAACTAGCTTACATTGTATTTTTACTAGACCATGCTAAATGTCTAGGGTAGTGTCTCCATCAAGAGGCTCACGAAGGCACAGTCTGACAGTGCAGTAGAAGGGTGAAAAGTTATCTAAAATGACTCAATAACTCAAAGAACATGACTATCTTGGGAGCATTTAAGGTAGGGATAAACAGGCCGATGCATTAAAATGGCCTCAGAAAACATGCTGCATTATAGATGACAAACACTGGTGACAGAGAAGGCAGCCTGCCAAAAAAGCATTGTCTGTAATTGCTTGTATTTAAAAAATGCATGGTATGTTCTATAATGTATATTTATAACCAGATGAACATAAGTATAAAAATAAATGTAATCATTTTCTGTGAGCAACAGGATTTCCAAACTTTGTCCTAAATACCAGGTTCAGCATTTCAAGTTATTTTTGCATGAACTTCCCAGGTTCAAATAACTGGTCATCTTAGGACCTTGGAATTGATAAAGTTTCAAGGACCAAGAAAACTTTCAGAGTACTGGGTCTGGCAAAGAGCCCAGGTTAGGAAGAGACCACAGGACCTTACTCCAGGCACATTTCTGGTTGAGCCCAAGTTTTCCCATCTATATAGTGATGTGTAAAGGCCAACCTGACTTTAATTCCATTCTAGGATTCTCACAGTCCTTTCAAACATACCATGTGTGCTCGAATGGCTCTAGTTCTATAAAAATCCATGGCCATCTAGAAAGGCTGAAACTGGGGGAGGGTAGTGTCTCTGTCATTGGGAAGCTTGTTAAATGGTTTCCCCAGACACCCATCCCAGAGAGAGCCACCTATCACAGCGACAGGCAGAATGGCAGACCCAGCTTTTACAGCCCTGAGGCCTGGTTTCTCACTAAATTATTCTTATCTAGGCAGCACTTTGGAAGCGAGGCGATGCTTTGACTTAAATGCTTTATTAGCCTAGAGTGCCGCTTCAGATCCTTTTTGGAGCCAGGGTGGATATAAATTACAAATAAATAAATAGAATTATCCCAGAAGCAGTGACTGGAACTGCTCAGAAGGAGGCTGGGACTTTACATGGTTCTTGCCTGGAGGGGAAAAAGACCAACTTAGTCCTTGTCCAGAATATCTGTCTACTCCTCATCCCACTCACTCCACCTGAGACTTAAATTGTACAGAAGAAACTTTCTCATGCTTCCACTAACCTACGAGACCTGGATAGAGGTGGGCAGTCCTTGGGCTTCCCACAGGTCAGGGAACCCTGATTGCTCTTCGAGCAGATGAGGGGGGGGGGACTTGATCGGGGGAGGGGGAGGGAAATGGGAAGCGGTTGTGGGGACGAGGCAGAAATCCTTAATAAATAAATAAATTTAAAAAATAAATAAGAGGGCAATAGAAAAGCATAGAGCCTGCTCTTTAGGAGCCAGCCAAGTTAAGAGATAAAGGAATTGAGAAAAATGAAAAAGACCCAGGCAAACATGTTGGGAATGGGTAGATGCAGATGTTTAGTAGAGAGCAAATGCCACTGGCTAAGGAAACAAGGGCTTCCCAGGGAAAGGCTGACTGCAATGAAGCCTGGATTCTGAGCATGGTTTTGCAGTACCTTGCAGGCACTCGGCTATGCGCAGCAGGTTCCTCGGAAAACAAGACTGGCACACAGCTTACTGGAAATGACTACTTTGAGGATTAGGGAAGAGAGAGGTTGAATTTCAGGGAAGCTGAAGCAAAGGCCTCTTGGATACCAAAGGGAGTCCAGGTGACCCATCAGAGTAATTCCAACTCCAGGTAAAGGCCTGGGCCTTTGTGCAGTAGATGACCCACTGGTCTCTGTAACCTTGGCCAAGCATAGCTTTCCAACTATGAGTTGTCCACAGCCAGTACTCTGGTAGCTGGCTGGGTGGAAGGATTCTAAAAGATGTATATGCACCATAGGGAGAGACTGGCAGTGGACACTCCAGAGGAGCCTCTCTGCATTAGATTATTTATAAAGCAATAACATTTATTAAACACTTCTGCATGAAATCAGAGCAGATCAAGGCACAGTCCTTACCTCCAAGAAGCTTGCAGTTTAGGGGGACAAAACATATGTACCCAATTGCTTAGTTAAGTGCTAACTTGTCTTGCAGTCACACAGCACAATGGGAGTCAATGCAAGCAGTAGTACTACACAGTGGAATCAGAGAGGCCCTCCACAATAGGATAATCTGAGTTAGATCAGGCCCTGACTCAGGAAAGACTAGGCCAGGAGGGACAGAGATGTATTCTAGGAAGAAGGAACAGCCCCTTAACCTTCAGAGCAAAGTCAGTCCTGCTGAACAGGCAGACAGCTTCCTGGGGGCAGGTGACCACTACCCCCACCCCTTTGTCTTCCTCCAGCCAGTTCGCAGAATCAGTACCTTGGATGAAAAGATGTTAAAGATAAACAGAGCCCTGGTTGAGATCAAGAAGCGGTTTCAGAAGACTGTGACTCAGTTTATGAACGCTGTGTTGCTGGCAGCAGGTAAGGGTAGAAAGGTGCATAGGCCTACTAGAAGGTCTCTTAAATCTTGGGTCACCTGTCTCAAAATTCAGTCTTTTTCACCTCTTGAGTTTCAGCCTCCTGAGAGGTAAGGGCAACCAGTATTTTCTATGGGGAGTGCCTGAGGACACACAGCTGGGACTGGTGAGCTGAGATAACTTTAGTTCCTGAACTTTTTCCCTATATGCCTTCAGTGTCTCCATGCAATTATGTTACTTTTCCATAGCTCATAGATTTTGTGCATCCCTCTGGGCCCTTTCTGTTTTGTCCCTTGTACCATCTGTCATCCTTTATAACTGTCATTTGCTCTTCTCTCTTCGGGGATAACAGAAGAAGAGAAAAATCCAATCACTTCACAAAACTGTCCCTGCTAGACACAGAGCACTCTTGGGCCCAGTCAGACAGGCTTCGGGAGCTTTCATGTCTGTGCTCTCTGCTCTACTGAGAGCCCTCAGAAACAAGGTGCTACCTCCTGGTTGGGCCTGCAGCCATGCTTCCCACACAGCTTCCCCAAGGAATCTCTCCTTGGCAGCAGAGGCTTAGTTCAATTGTGCCGTTCCTTTGTGAGCCTTCCTTGACTTCCCTTACAAAGTAGGGCTCCCCTTCCCATTCTGATGGTTCCCATTCCGATGGTTCCCATGGCTGCTCTGATGGTATAAATCTTGTTACCAGGGCTGGAGAAATGGCTCAGTGGTTAAGAGCACTTGCTGCTCTTTTCCAGAAGACCTGGGTTAAATTCCTAGCACCCCACATAGCAGCTCACAATTGTCTGTAACTCTAGTTTCAGGGAAATCTGATGTCTTCACACCAATGAACTTAGATAAATTTAAATAAATTATATATAAAAATCTTGTTACCTAGCCTTGTGAATATTTATCTCCTTTTCTTCCCATCCCATCTTTTTTAGCAGCAAAAGGCCTGTCTTGAGTTGTCTTTACGCATAGCATACTCATTCAATAAATGCTTGCTAGGCGAATAAAGGAGCACTAGGCCTCTGGCCTCAGAAATTTCTACTGGACTAAGTAAAAAAGCAAGACAGAGAAACAAAAATCCCACAACATACCAAAGAAGAGGATGAAACCAGCCTCTTCTCAGCAAAGGGAACACATGGTGTACCTAACCTTACTGTTGAACGCTATAAAGTGCTGAGTGAAATACAGGGCATCTGGGAAAGTAAGACTGAAGCTGGATCATGCAGGACAAATAGAAATGAGATGTGTTTATTCTTGCTGACTACTTATTAGGGCAGTGTGCTAGATACAGAGCAAGGCAGGACTGGACAAAAGCCAGTGAGGGGTCTATGGGTGTGAGCTAAAGTAGACTCTGATGGTCCAGGTGATAGGAGCCAAGAAGCAGGGGCAGAGGTGACGCGGTAGTCTGGGAAAGTGACAACAGTAATCTTGTTGACAGGTCTGTTTACCATAGAATATCCCACCGTGAAGGAAGACACAGAAGCTAGTCGTGTCAAGTTGAAATCTGGGTCTTACCCTGATCGGAGCCGTAAGTCAAGTTTATACCAAGGAGAAACCGTTGTACGATCCCAGTCAGCCCGACCAGATTCCTTAATTGAAGACACATTGAAGGAAGAGTCTATACAAACACCCTTGATCCCTGTTCGAAAGAAGAGTAACAAAGTCCAGGCCAGAGTCACACCAAGGTTGGCTTAATCCTTCATTTCTTTCATAGAGCTAAGGGATGTGATGGGCAGTACAAATGTAGTGGGAACCACGCAAGCCCCCTGCCTTTGCAGTTCCCACTCTAGGAGTGGAGGAGATACACATGGATTTAAATGGTATCTTTGACTTTTTGAACATTTATTTATTTATTGTTTATGTATTTGTATGTATATGGGTATACACATGCCATAGACTACATGTAGAGATCAAAGGATACCTCAAGGGAGTTGGTTTTCTCCTCCCACTGTGTACCCTCCAGAGATTGAATCCGAGTTGTCAGCCACAACATCTTTACCTGATAAGCCATCTCACTAACCCAAAAATGATGTCATTCCAGATGGCCATGGTATAACTGGAGGTTTCTTTTTAGTCTGCCAGTTCTCGAATAACCATGTTGGGCGCCAATTTGTAGACGGAGGCTGCTGTTCATTTCCCGGCCACCCAGACTGGAAATAATCACACAGAGACTATATTAACTAAAACAACTGCTTGGCCAGTCACTTAAGCATATCATTAACTAGCTCTTATATCTTAAATTAACCCATTTACATTATTTTATATTTTACCATGAGGCTCTTGGTTTACCTGTAAGGTTCTGAACAGCATCTGACTCCTTTGGCAGCTACATGGCATCTCTCTGACTCTGCCTTCTTTCCTCCTCTATCTGTTTGGAATTCCTGCCTTATTCTATTCTGCCCTCCATAGGTCCAAAGCAGCTTCTTTATTAACCAATGGTAATAAAACATATTCACAACATAAAGAGGGGAATTCCACATCATCAGACTGTTTGACTGGTGGCTCAGACTATTTACTGGCTAGCTTTACATATAAATTAACCCACTTCTAATAATCTCTGCATGGCCACATACCCAGTGACTTACCAGTAATACTCTGGCATCTTACTCCTTCAACAGCTGCTGTCTCTCTGACTCTGCCTTCCTTTTCCCTTTATCTTTGCTTGAATTTCCTGCCTGGCTCTATTCTGCCTGGATATTGACCAAATCAGCTTCTTTATTAACCAACTATAATAAAACCTATTCATGGCATAAAGAAGGGCATCCCACATCACCACTGGGCTAATAAGAAAAGGTTTAGAACAGTGTGACATAATAGAGACTGGTCATGGGCCAAATCTAACCTGGATGCCTAATTTTTTATCTATTTTTAAATGCTTTTGGTGGAACCAAAAGAAGGCTATTTTATGACATATGAAATGAGAGGAAACTCATTAGTATTTGTTGATGATATTCTATTGGAACACAACCATGTCCACCATTTCCCACTATCCATAGATGCTTCCCCTTAGCATGAAAATGCCGAGTCCTCGTCACAGAGCTCATCAGGCCTCTGAAGGGTGGGATACTTACTTTCCTGTCCACTGTAGAAAAGACTAGCCCATTCCTGGAACAGAGTGGCTGTAGAGTAGACTGGCAAGGCTGCCTTCAATAAGAGGGTCAGGAAAGCTGTTTTAAAATGATATTTAAAGTGAGAAGTGAAGGATGAGAAACAAGTCGTCCAAACAGATGTGATAAAGGAACATCACAGAGCCCCAGGAGACAAGAACAAGCTTGGTGTGTGTGAGAACTAGTAAGAGCAGTGTGGCTGGGATGTCACAAAGGAGGCCATGGGACTGGCAAGTACAGATAACTTCTGCCAAGCCCAACATCATGAATTTGACCTCTGAGACCCACATGGTAGGAAACAACTGACTCCTAAAAGTTTTACTCTTATATTCTGCTGTGGCACAAATACACACACACAATCAATGTAATTTTTAAAAATCTTTTTTTTAAAGAATGAAACCATGATATTAGTTGAGAACACAGGAGCAAACAGGAGGCTAACCAAGTCGCCTCACTATGCTAGAGGTGCCATCCCATATGTGGAAATGGAACCTCATTAGATTTATCCGTTTTTATTTTAAAAACTTAAAATATGTATATTGGGGCTAGTGAGATGCCTCGGTGGGTAAGGGTCTGTGTTATCAAATTTGATGACCTGAGTTCAATCCCTAGGAATTTACATGGTAGAAGAAGAGAGCTGAGCCCCACAAGTTGTCCTCTGACTTCCACATGCATGTGTGTAATTGCTCATGCATGTTCACAAATAGACATGTATAATTTAAAGTATATATTTTAAAATATGAAACTGAGCCAAGCAGTGGTGGTGCACGCCTTTAATCCCAGCACTCAGGAGGCAGAGGCAGGCAGATTTCTGTGAGTTCAAGGCCAGCCTGATCTACAAGAGCTAGTTCCAGGACAGGCTCTAAAACTACAGCGAAACCCTGTCTCGAAAAACAAAAATATATATATGAAACTTACACAAAAGAATGAGAAAATTCTACCCACATAGCTCAAGTGCACAGACCCTGTAGCCACCAAGTCAGGAACAGACCCTTACCCACTCCCTAGAAGTTCCTTTATGCCAATCCAGTCTTTGCTTCCTTCCTCCCCAGGCCAAACATTGTGAACACTACAGACTAGCTTTTGTTCTAACTTTATGTGAATGGATGTGTGTGATTTGTTTTCTGGGTGTGTGGTTTTTTCATTCATTGTTATGAATTGACGTTTACCAATGTCCCGTGCCCAGCGCTCATTTGTTCTCTCTCTTCACTATATAACAATTTATTCTGTGATCATGCCACAGACCATGCATTCTAATGACATAGGTGTTTGGTTGTTCATGGCTATTGTGCTGCAAAATTGTGCTGCTGTGGGCATTTGTCTTTCATGTGATCATTAAATGCCAAGGTACAAAACCAGAGTATGTATAGATATGCTCTGCTCCCTGTATAGATGATTGGTCTTCCAGTCGTTCTAGCAACCTCAGCTCCTAGCAGCAGTGTATAAGAACTCCAGTTCTCCAGTTGCTCCATGTTCTTACCAGTGATAATGTTGTTTTTTCTCTGTCTAAAAAAAATGGGGTGTGTGTGTGTGTGTGTGTATACATATGCACACTTGGGGGACATTGAATGCCCTTTCATTGAATACTCTATGATTCTCTGTCTTATTTCCTTGGAACAGGGTTTCTCACCGAGCTCTGAGTTGCTCGGGCATTCAGCAAGTCCCAGCAAACTTGTCTCCATTCTCTCATAGCCTGTGGCTATAGGAACTTGTGGTCATGCCCTGCTTTTTATTTAGGTGTTGGGGATTTTAACTCAGGTCTTTGTGCTTGTGCAACAAACACTTTTACTGTATTGAACCGTTTCCCCAACTCCTAGATTATGTTTCACACTGTCCATTTTGAAATAATTTTGTATAAGATACAGTGTATAATTTTAAATTTGTTGGTTTTACACATGGCTATATATTTGTTTCCACAGAATTAAAAAAATAGATACTTTTCTTCATGAACTTGTCTTTTCACCATTGTAAAGAAAAACGGTGGGTCATATTTGTGTGGGTCTCTTTCTGTACTGTTTTATTAACATGACTTTCAAATATAGAAGCAGCCTTGTATTTCTGGATAAACTTCTTTCAATTATAAAGGTTTCTCTCCCTGTATTTCTGGGTACAACTTGCTAAGATTTGTTGAAGCTTTTGCATATATACTTGTTAGGGTTCTTCATGAGTAGTTTTTCCTTTCTGATACTGACTTTTAAAAAATGAATTGGGAAGTATATCTCCTTTATTTGTGTTGGATCCAGGTCTTTTCCTTTAAAGGGTTGTTAAGATTTACCAGAAACCAGCTTACTCAGAGTCTCCTTGTAGGGAAGTTTTTAAAAACAAAATTGTTTTTGTAAATATGGAGCTAGTTAGGCCACTTGTTTTTTTCTTGAATGAATGTTTAGTAATTCATCTCTTTAAGTCATCCAAGTTATTGGATATATAGACATGGATCATCCCTAGTTTTCCCTCGGGAACTTCTTCTGAAAACTTTTTATGTTTATTTGGTATTTGTGCATAATAACTTGTAACTGGTATACAAGGGAGGTCAGAGTGACAGGCAGGGTCTTGCGGAGGTAGGCGCTCTCTTTCCTCCATGTGAATGGGTGGGTCCCAGGGATTGAGCTCAGGTTGTCAAGCTTCTGGCCAGTGCCTTTTACTGGCTGAGCTCATATGGCCTCCTTAATGTCTGTAGGATCTCTAGAGCTATCTCCTCACTCTGCCACTTCTTGCTTCATGTATTTAGGACCCCCTGGTCCATACATACAGATATAATCACTGTGTTTCCACATGGAATAATTTCTCTCCATTGTCATGTTTTTCTTTTCTTTAATATCATTTTTAGCTTCATTTATTAATTGTGTATGTGTATGTGTGCATGTATGTGCTCATGAGTGCAGGTGCTTGTGGAGGCAAGAAGAGGGTGTCAGATCTCCTGGAACCATCCAGTATGGTGCTGGGAACCAAACTTGGATCTTCAGCAAGAACAGTTCATGCTCTTAACTAGTGAGTGATTTTTCTGGTTCCAGCTTATAATGATTTTTTACTTATATTTTTCTGGTATTAGTATAACTACTCCTTATTTCCTAAATATTATTTGATTGGTATGCTTTATTCCAACGTATCATTTTCAACTTAATTGTATATTTGAATCTAAAATGCATCCTGATGGAGAACATGTATTAGAGCATAGATCATGGTTCTATTAAGATTTCTATATATTATATAATTATTTGCTGTCAACTTATCTCTAAATGTGGTGGGTTGCTTCTCTCCTTTTCCTCTCAAGGTTCTGTGTGTGTGTGTGTGTGTGTGTGTGTGTGTGTGTGTGTGATGTTCACGAGCGCGCTCACATGTGCACATGTGTGTGTATGATGTTGTTACTGTATTGTTCTGAACTGTTTAATTCTCCTATTTTAAGCCTCTTGAATACTGGGCTTTCAGTACCACCACACACACCTGCCTTTCTCTTAACAGTTTGTCTGTAAAGAGTCTACTATACTAATCTTACTATCTTCATGTTGGTGGCTCTCTGTTGCTGAGATTCACTGTTGAAGTTTTTATTTCAGCCATTGTGCATTCAGTTCTAGTCTTGT